GACTTTAAAGTATAAATCTTGCAAATGGGTCTGAATGGGTGTAGCATTTGACTTTCTTTAAATGCCGTAACTGAAGGCACGTCTGTGATCCTGTTTTGATTCATGCCATTTCGACATCTCTGCTTAAATACACATCATAATGATTCTTTCTTGGATTTACAGAAGCAGCTTTCCAGAAGTGATTCAGATGAAAGACGAGCTGTTATTCTCTGTGGTGGTAAACTCCATCTAAATATAGTCCAGCAGATATTCAATCTCTCGCTGGTGGAAATGCAGCACGGTATGTTGTAATTAGCCAATAACCCAAACACTTGAAACGCGTGCGACGTTCTCAGAGAGTGGTAGCAACATGCCTGATCAGTGTTACACAAGGTTTCTGTAGTAATTTTACAAATGTTACTAGATAAATGGGCAGAGAAGGAATGGTATTTTCAAATTCCTGAATTGTATTGATTTTAAAAGTTTGGGCCCCCTGAGATATTAAGGCAAAGATTAAAGGGCTGTGTGTTTGTAAGCTACAATCTTCTCATGACCTTACTCGTGACGTGACGTTACGTAGTGTGAATTTACAAATGGCTGGAAACATTTCTCTGAATTCCCTTCCCCACAAGCTTTATTTTATTTCTTTGTCAACTTAACGGATACAACTATGAAAAATCTCTATGAATTGGTAAAGTCAATGTTTCAGATTCAGTAAACAATTTCAAATTGTAGAAATAATACTAATGATGATGTGAAGTCAAGTAGCAAATGGACCAGAGACATGGGGTTTATACAGTATGGTATTTCTTCCTTAGATTTATTGGAATTGTATTGAAATTGCATAATAGTAGGTTTTAAATTGTTGTTATGATATTAATTCGTTTTTAAATAAATTTTGCTTTTTACAGTATCTGCACAGCTTAAGCAGTGGGAATTAGCTGATGAGTACCTAATTAAAACAAGTCTGGATACTTATGAATTCTATGGAGAATTGAATTTCTCCTCTGTATTTGAAACGTGCATTCATTGTACTTTCATCTCCGAGTGGCAAAATTGGTCAGGAAGTTGTTTCACATAGTTGTGAACTGTCCTTTGTTTTTGAGATCATCCCACCTGTATCTCCCCATGCTGGTTTTTCCTTGCTAGAAAAACTGCAAACATAGAGAAGCATTTAATTTTAGGAGAAATATGTTTTGTACCTTCAACATACCTAGTTATAGGAAGATTTCTAACCAGAGGTTTACGTGTCTCCCCAGGTTCATCTTGGATTGTGCTCACAGCCGACAGCGAGGGCTTCGTTCCCTTGACGTTTACGGCCGCGCAGGAGGTCGTGGTCAGAGACGCCAGCGCGAAAGGCTACAGCGCCCGCTCGTCCAAAACTCTGGACATCATCAGCTCGACAGAAGGGTGTAGACCCACTTCTTCTGAAAGTCTGGATATCACCAGTTCCCTGGAAGTCCTCAGAGACTGCTCCTCCAAGACTTTAGACGGCAGCAGTCCTCCAGAGCAGCCCAGCAGTAAAATGTGATTTTTGACAGTGGTTTTGTAATGAGACTTTTAAACTTATTGTGTAGGACTGCAAATTCCGAACAACAGGCTGTCTCAAATCTCTGTTGGATTTCTGTAATTTTTTTTGTTGCATATCACTGTAAATTATTTATCTGATCCTTGGAAACATTAACTTTGTTTTTATACTGAGCAGCATTTTCTAAATATGCCTCTTGCAATACAGACCAAGTCTTTATATCAGTGGTTGAAAAGGCGCATTCTTACGAGCTTCCGAGCTAAAGTTTCCATCTTGGTCTTTAATAGGTTGGTGTTTTTAGATGATAGTAAACTTGCATAATAAAGAAATCCTTGAAAATGCTGCATTGTCCCCAGTTTCCTCATTTTTCTCAAAGCCTGAGATTTGCAAAAGTAAGAACAACTCCTGGGTTGAGATAAAGGTGGTTTAATAGGTGAAACAGAAGCTGTGTTAGTGAAACGAGTTTCGTCGGCACTTTGCAGTGGCAGGCAGGTGTTCAGCAGCTTCTGGGAAAGCAAAGCTTTGTCACGTGCAGTGGTTCCTTTGGAAAATCAGGGCTGTAACTCTGACCTTCCTCTCCTTTCTCCTTCTTTCCCCTTAATTTTTATTGCTGAGCGTGACATCATATGGTAATGTCCCTTTGGTCAGCTCCCCCAGCTGTGTCCCCTCCCAACTTCTTGGGGTGGGACAGAGCAGAGCAGGAGAAGGTGGTTTTTGCTGCTGTGCAAGTGCTGCTCAGAAATAGCCAAAATATCAGTGTGTCACCAGCCCTGCTTGGGTCACAGCTCCAAAGCACCACAGGGACCGCTCTGAAGGAAACTAACTCCATCCCAGCCAGGCCCAATACATCATTAAGGGCATAAACCGTCCTTAGTACCGTTTGAATAACTAAACATTTGCTGGTTAATATTTCTAAACATCTCTAGTCTTCATATGGAGGTTTTTCCTCCTTACCTTTGAAACAAAGCTGTTAACATTAACGATGTTGCCTTCAATGCATCTGTTTTAATTTTCACAGCTAATATGTGCCGAGCGAGAGCAGAAGGGAAGGCAATTAACCCATCACCTTCAGAGCATCCAGTGGAAAGGCTGACGGAAGAAAACCTTCTGTGGGCTTCTGTAGTGAGAGACAGAGAGAGAGAGAAGATTCAAAGGTGAAATTTAGAAGCCAACACAAGTTTCTGTAGCAGGGATTGCAGCCCTGAAGAAAAGAGAGTAATCCAAGATTGCGACCCATAAAATTAAAGCACGGTAACGTTAAGCAGTTTATGGGGCTTTCACAGTGGCTCTTACTGCGTGAGGAGGAATCAAGTGACAAGATTATAGAGACAGAGCTGCTGTTTCAAGACTAATAAAATCTTTTTTTATTGCCCATTTGGAAATTTAGCCACTGTCAAAAAAAATAATCTGTCCACAAAATAGGATATTAAAGATACATTAGCGAAAGCTGCGAGGAGCACTCAGTGTTGTGTGGTGCAACTAGAATTTAACAGGTTTTGATGAGCGGGAGAGGAGGAAAACAGGGAAGATAATCTGGTGACTGTGGGCTTCATCCTGTCCATAACGAGCGTCTGGTCTCTAATTGTCCCTGTTTCATCAGGAGGTGGTCCATGACCTTGTTTACTTTTACCAGATATTAATTGAATCTGGAGCTTCAGCACTGGGGGGATGGTCTGTGTTTCCTCCCACACCTGATGGCCCTTTTCCACACAGTTCCTGGTCCCAGCATCTCCTGAACCCACACGAGGGTCAGGGCTGAGCCCTCTTGGCTCTGCAGGAAACATCTGTCCCCTGCGCTGCCCTGCTCACCCCAGAGGGTGCCATGAGTTGCTCGTGCCTCAAATGCTGCTTCTATCATTTTGTCATGCAGCCAAACAGCGTATAAAAATTAGCTGCCTGTTTTGGAATTATTATCTATTTGTATTATCTCTAGATTGACGAAAGACAGTGCCTCCCACCAGAAGCGTGCCCAGTCCCACGCTGCCCTGCTCACCCCAGAGGGTGCCATGAGTTGCTCGTGCCTCAAATGCTGCTTCTATCATTTTGTCATGCAGCCAAACAGCGTATAAAAATTAGCTGCCTGTTTTGGAATTATTATCTATTTGTATTATCTCTAGATTGACGAAAGACAGTGCCTCCCACCAGAAGCGTGCCCAGTCCCAGGTTGCACCAGCTGGATCTGTAGGACTCCTCCAGGTGAGCACCAGGTGCCCAGGGCTTTGCTGTGAGGGGCAGCTGGAGCACACACAGCAAATCACCCACTAAAAGCTGTCAATAATTTGGTCAAGGCATTACACAAGCTCTTCAGGGGGCGTTACGCGCATGCAGACCAGTGTTGCATTTGAAATACAATCCTAGGAATCTCAGGGGGATTAAATCCTTGCATTAAGAGAATCCCTTATTTCTAATCAAGAAGCCATTTCTCAGTCTATGGGCTGAATGGGAAACAAAGGCCCAAGTGGCTGAAGATGGATCGAGCGCAGCGCTAATGAGAATGAGATTGTACTTTTCAATGCTGAAAACGTGGGAGAGGGACGTGGGAGCAGTTGGAAGTCCTCGAGGTCTAACCCGGGGGGCTGGGGGCAGGAACTAGCAGAACCTGCAGCTGAGGCTGTTGCTCACTTGCTGAGATATTGTTGATAAATTAAGTTCTTTTATCTACTTCAGCTGGGCTGTAACGTGAGTTAATAACAACCTCTTGTATAGGTTGTATGAGGCGTAATGCTACAAGTGTGCCAAGTATTTATGGATAAACTCAGTGGGGTAACCAGCTCACTGCTTCCAGATAGTTCATCAAAAGGGTTAGAAAAGACTACATTAAAAAAACCACCACACGTACACACAACCTTGGAGATTTTCTGTGTGTGGAGGGTTCAAGGCCAGGCTGGATGGAGCTTTGAGCAACCTGGTCTGGTGGGAGGTGGCCCTGCCTGTGGCAAGGGGGTTGGAACTGGATGATGTTTAAGGTCCCTTCCAACCCAACCCATTCTGTGATTCTGTGAGCTGGAAGAGGAGACTGTTGAGGAGCTCAGCTGCTGACTATCCCAGCAATAGAAGATTTGGGCTGCCATTACTGCACTGCAGCACGGGCAAGGAACAGGCATGGCTTGCCTTACGGGGACTGCTTGGTGACAGGTAACTCCATTATCCTCTTTCCTTCCTCTGCTTGTGTAAATCCATGTTGGAAGTGCTGGTGTGCAGGTGGGAGGTGCTCTCCATTTGGCACCCAGCTGGTTTAATCCCCAGTCTCCCATATTCTCTGCATTTGGGAATTCCTGGCTGAAGAGCCCCCGGGGCCTGACCCTGGCCCTTCCTGCTGCCCCTCGGGGCGAGGCCTGGGGTTTACATGAGATTAGTGCTTCATCCAAACGGTTGTCAAGATAAGAACCTGCTCCTTTCAGTCACGTGTTCTGAACACACCCAAGGCACACACGGCATCGACAACTCACAAGGAGACACACACATTTCATTCATTTTACAGCACCAACACCGAGCCCTAAAAAAAGAAAATTGCCAAAAAAAACCACCTTACCCTGCACTTCCTCTTCCAGTCTTTTTATTTACAAAAATACATTCACTTTCTTAACAAAAGTACAACTCCGATAATCAAATAAAATAGCAGATTTTCAAAATACAACAATGCCCTGCTACATTGCATCTGCAGAAGCTTTCTGTTTTATTTCGGGGGTTTCCGTTATTGCCGCCAAACGCAAAGCGAGGCCCCAGCACACCTCTGCGGGGCAGGTATCGCGTTGGCTCTCTGGAGAAGAGGAAAACACTTTACAATCCACCAAGTTTACCTCGTGAGAGGCTGAATCCGGGTTGGGTGTTGTGCAATTTAGAGGCAAGTGCCCCAGTGATTTAGGAATAACATCTGAAGCCACATTCAAACTCCGCCCATGGAGCACAGCCAGCAGGTGCTGCAGCCCCTTTAGCGTGGGCTGAGTATTCGGTTGATCTGAACTGACAGGGACCCATGGCCATGCAGCCACAGATTTATGGGTTATTAAAATGTTTTTTATTAAAACATAACCCATTAAAAAACATTAACAGCCTTTACTGGGACTTCTGGTCATTTTTAACAAACACTATTCAGAAATACGCAAATATTACAGAATAAATCAAAACACCCCCCCTGTTTTTCTGTGATGTTTTGGAGCTATGTGAGATTACTGCACGATTTACCTACTTCAAAGTGCAGTAAATCTGCTATTTCCAATGCCATCAGACTCAACATTGTAAACAGGCTCATGCTTTTTATTGCTGTAAACACATATGCCCCAGGCATACAAATCTTGGTTTGTCCTAGAACCGAAACAAACAAACAAAAAAAGCCCCCCAGCTTTAGATGTCAATTCATCAGAAGCCTTAAACGGAGTTAACTCTCTCCCCAGCACACGCAAAAATACAGCCTTAAAAGCTCACTCATGATTCAGGGTTTTGCTGAATTAGGACAGTTCCTTAGGCCTTCAAACTTAACTTCAAAGTTGCCTGAAAAGAATTCAGTGTTAACTTAAAGAGCACTCAGTGGATGCACTGAGTTTACTTCACAGCACCTTTCATTCAGTTCCTGGTCCCAGCAGTGAGTCCCTTCAGGTGGCCCTGAGCAAATGCCTTGTGGTCACTGCCCCCAGTGCCACCTACTGCAAGTGCCCCCAGGCAGCCCCAGCCCAGTCCTCCAAAGGCACTTCCAGGGCAAAATAAAGGCACCCTCCCACACAGTCAGAGAGCAAAGCCACTGGGCTGCAAATTCATGTCTTGTCTTGCGTTGTGCTGAGTTCTTCAAGGTGAAGAAGCCTCCAGATCTTGGATTCATCCCTCTCCCCTCCAGATTTAGATAGGTCTTCCAAGTCCCATCATTTTAACTTAAGCTTGGGGACCATCTCTGGAGGTCTCTGTATCTCCACCGACTACAGAACCAGCCCAGAATGACCAGGTTGGAACCTAAGTGCTCCAGAAAGTGACTGAGGTCAGGTGTGTCTTTCATCTACAAAATGTGTTCAGAAATCTGAATGGCACAGTCTAATTTTTGGAAGGGACTACTGATTTGGGGTGTCCTGAGTGGGGATGTTGATTTAGAAAATGTTAAGTACTCATTCTCTGACAAAGATCAGTTCACAGGTGTCAGAAACAAGGAACTGCAGTGATGGGAAATGTAAGGTTCTGCTTCATATAAAATCTATAAAGTTCATTTACACCAAAATCTCTTTTAGAAAACCTCTTCATGAGAAAATCTTCAAAACATGTCTGCATCTGTGATTTGCTTCAGTTCAAAAGAAAGTAAATCCTAACTTCATATAGTTCACTTCAGGATTTCCAAGTGCTTTCCAAACACATGAACGTGCAATTTATAGGCAGAGATTATGTCCAAAATCCACCCCAGTCCGTAAGGGTGAAATATATCACATGAGTTCAAATCTGGGTTGTGCATCACATTTACACTTTTTTCCCCTTGATCTACAAGTCCATGGAATCTCCTGTTGCAATGAGACCACGGCTTGCCGTTAATCATTGAAAAACAAACAAAAAAGCCCCAACCCTTCAATCGCTCACATTCCTGGCCATTTGTAATGTCATTTTTAGCACAGCACATGGAGTTAGATGTGCATTTTGCCCAGTGGTGTCCTCTCTTGACCTCATTCCTGACTCTGTCAGAATCATCCTTTATCCTTTTCGATAAAACGCGAGCGGAGAAATGACCTGGAAGCCTCTCGCTGAGTTTGCGTGTGGGATTGGAAAGTCATTGAATCCAGAGCTTTCAGACCGAGGTGTCCTCTTTGTGGTCATCCAGGTTCTCTGTGCTTTGATGGCTCCTTCTGTTGAAAGCAGAAGAGGCTGCTTTTAGGTGAAGAGTGAACAGACTTCTGGCTTTCATTACTAACTAATTAAGCTACACTTTGGCAATTTCAAACAACTGAGAGCCCCCAGCAAGGTGTGGTTGTTATGGACAGTGACTAAAGTACCTAAACAGAGGGACCAGTGCTGTTTCAGATTGTTCAGTCTGTCCCCTCTGGTCTGCAGCTCCCCGAGAGGCCTGGGGCAAACCTGCCAACCCCATGGAGGTATCTTAGATACCTGGTTTAGATAATTAACTGGTCCCAGATACCCGGGCTTAGGGCCTGGAACTGATCCCTTAGCATGGAAATCAGTTTCCAATTCCAGCAACTTGGGATAATAAAAAAAAAGACATGAGTAACAGTGTATTTTGATATTGAATCCATCAATCTGCTAGGACAGACTGTTCCTGTGTATGTCCTCAATACAGCAAGGCTCCACTTGACAGAGGTGGATGACTTTGAGCTAGGCAGGATTTTTTTGGAGAAGGGAGGAAAGGGGAAGAAGGGAGTGATTGGGTAAAAAGGGAAAGAACAGCTCAAAGCCATCCTTTCTTTTTCTCCCGTGATCTTTCCTGCCTACACCCCGAAATGGTTTGGATGTTTCTCATATGCCATAAACACCAAGAATGCAGTCAAGAATCCCATTTTCTTCTGTATACAAGGAAGTTGTAACTATTCACATTTTCTCCCGGAATTTAATCAATGTAGAATATTCTTCATTTCTGGCTTGAAACACTGCACAGCAATAGTGCTTTGTGTGCCATCCCAGAGAAAAAGAAAAATACAGCAGTTGATAAAGGGTCCTCTAAGCAGGTAGTACCACACTGCAAAATTAAGACACTGGAGCATGTAATGGTACCACTCAGTTAATTATTCAGCTAATCAAGTGTTGTTTTGTTGTAAAGAATGCAGAGGTCTATGTTGGTAGCTAAGAATTTTTTGCCCAGTAGGACCAAGAGCTGCTGTGGTCTCGTTACCCCTTGTTTGCTACAAACCCACCTTAACGCTTCCAGCGCCAGCTTTGTTTCTTTCCGACTTTCTTCAGTGATTGGGTAGAAAAGAAGTATAAATAAACCTCCAAGGATGAGGATAGCGGGGACCGCTCCGATGAGGATCTTCAGCGTGAGGATCACGTCGTCGGATTGTCTGCATATCCCTGGCTTGTAGCCAGTGAACCTAAACACATGGAAATGAGAGTGGTGGGAGTGTGTCCAAAGCCAATGGCAGTTGTCCATCTGTGGAACTGATCCCTTAGCATGGAAATCAGTTTCCAATTCCAGCAACTTGGGATAATAAAAAAAAAGACATGAGTAACAGTGTATTTTGATATTGAATCCATCAATCTGCTAGGACAGACTGTTCCTGTGTATGTCCTCAATACAGCAAGGCTCCACTTGACAGAGGTGGATGACTTTGAGCTAGGCAGGATTTTTTTGGAGAAGGGAGGAAAGGGGAAGAAGGGAGTGATTGGGTAAAAAGGGAAAGAACAGCTCAAAGCCATCCTTTCTTTTTCTCCCGTGATCTTTCCTGCCTACACCCCGAAATGGTTTGGATGTTTCTCATATGCCATAAACACCAAGAATGCAGTCAAGAATCCCATTTTCTTCTGTATACAAGGAAGTTGTAACTATTCACATTTTCTCCCGGAATTTAATCAATGTAGAATATTCTTCATTTCTGGCTTGAAACACTGCACAGCAATAGTGCTTTGTGTGCCATCCCAGAGAAAAAGAAAAATACAGCAGTTGATAAAGGGTCCTCTAAGCAGGTAGTACCACACTGCAAAATTAAGACACTGGAGCATGTAATGGTACCACTCAGTTAATTATTCAGCTAATCAAGTGTTGTTTTGTTGTAAAGAATGCAGAGGTCTATGTTGGTAGCTAAGAATTTTTTGCCCAGTAGGACCAAGAGCTGCTGTGGTCTCGTTACCCCTTGTTTGCTACAAACCCACCTTAACGCTTCCAGCGCCAGCTTTGTTTCTTTCCGACTTTCTTCAGTGATTGGGTAGAAAAGAAGTATAAATAAACCTCCAAGGATGAGGATAGCGGGGACCGCTCCGATGAGGATCTTCAGCGTGAGGATCACGTCGTCGGATTGTCTGCATATCCCTGGCTTGTAGCCAGTGAACCTAAACACATGGAAATGAGAGCGGTGGGAGTGTGTCCAAAGCCAATGGCAGTTGTCCATCTGCAGGCTCTCTTCTTTCCCCCCCAGCACTCTTCAAGACTTTTCTCCCATTTTTCCTACATGTCTCTTTTTTTCCCTTCCCCTCACTGCACGTTTCAAATCTTTTTCACATCTCATTTTTGGGCTCCATTTCAGATAACTGCATTACCTCGGTATTTTCTCATCATTATTATTATTATATAACATTTAACTACTAAGAGGAGCACGGAATCCCACGTAAGGAAATTGATCTGTTAATGTGTTTCCTATTCGTAGTCAGCAAAGTGTTTAGGCTGGGCTTTAAAACTATGCAAGTAATCTGACCAATTTCAACAGCAGTAATTAAGCATAATTTAAACACTCACTTAAGCACTCTTCTCAAGATAGACAAATTTGTTCAAGGGCTTAGAGTTAGGTACGCGCTCACAGTTCACTGATTCAGGGCTTCCTTGCAGTCCCACAACTGCTGATACGCTCACAGTCCCATTCCCAATTTGTGGAATGAGTTTATTTTCCTCGGAATGTGCACCTATGAAAGCTACAGCCCCTTTGGCATCACTCTGTCTTCTGTGTTCTCCCACAAACATCTGCCTTGGCAAATTGCTAGGGGCTAACTGGAATGCAACTGAAAATGGGGCTAATTGGTGGAGAGCGATCTGTTGGAGGGCGTTGGCAGTCAGCAGCTACAATTCCTAAGCCCGAGACGTTCAGCCAAGCAGTGCTTGTTATTTAGCAGTTTCAGCTGAAGGCCCTGAAGCAAAACATTCTGGTTACCAAAACCTAACTTGGAGCCAAGGGCTGGGTAGTGCTTCAGACGAGTTCCCTTCTAAGCGTTTATTGCGTGCCTGTGTGCAGTTGCAGGCTCTTTCTGCCAGGTCACGCACAAGAGCAGGACAGGAGATGGCTGACTGCTTTCTGACCACTTTCTGACCGCTTTCTGACCGCTTTCTGACCGCTTTCTCAACTGTCAGAACACACAAGGCAAGAGTGGAAGGAGAACACAAAGCATCTTCCAAACTGACATGGTCCAAGTGATGGGCAGAGCTGTGAGAAAGACTCTGTTCCTGACTCTGACCAGTGACCAGTTGCCTAAAACCTGGCAGGAATTGGTGTTCCTTTTGTGATGAACACCTGAAAGCACTCCTGTCCATCTAAAGACCTACAAGTCCATATCCATAGTCCAGCCCAGATGCAACAGGGAATGCACAATGTGGGGGACCTTCATCTGCTGAGCTTTCATGTTTAGTCCTTTACCCATATAAACCACTAAAATTTACATGCGTAATTTGGAAAGAGGAGAATCCAAAGGGAAGTCAGGTCTTTCTGATCTGAAACATGTCAGGGCAGGCAACTTAATGCTCTGTAGTCTGGCCTAGATGATAACAATCCCATCTTTAGTGGTCAGCCATCTGGAGCTGCTGGCACTTTCAGGCTCAGGGCAAAACGGCAATTAACTCCACAGGGTAAAGGTGGAGAAACCTCCGAATGCTTTCAGGGTAGATCCACTAAGTGCAAACAGTGTTACTTACTCCAGTCCTGCTGCAGAAATTCCTAAGCCAATTCCTGCTGACATCTTGGTAAAGAAAACGTAAGAAGAATAGAAAATGGTTTCGTGTCCTTTTCCATGAGGATTCTGCAGGCGAAAGTTATCAACGACATCAGGCAGCATCGACCTAGAGATAAAAGCAAAACTGAAGCCAAAATCTTTTCTCAAATTCCAAACGTTCTGAAAGAGCACATCCTTCCTTCTTTTTTATGATCAGATTGATGCAGTCATACATATGAAAGAATCCAATTCAAGAAGTCCTGCTGCTGGACAGGAAGGCAAAAATCCGTGTAAGAAATGCACGGCCACATACTACGAAGTAGAAAACCACCGAAAAACTATCAAACACTTGCTGGGAAGTGAAGGATTCTTTAGAGTGACTGTCATTCCAATCACAAGTTGTGATATTAAACAAAGAACAAGAAAACCCATGTTTCTTAAGATTTCCAGGGACTCTGAATGTCTGAATAGTCTCACTCTGAGATACCCTTTTGACAAGCTAACAAAATTTTCAGAAACCAATGAGGCCTGTTTTCTCTCTGCTTCAGAGAGACTGAAATTGGTAATGGGGAATCAGAAGGGAAGTTGCTCAAATGTCAGTTGTGAATTGACATTTTATTTCCAGCGTAGGTCATGGTTTGCTGTTGGAAAAAAGGGCTTCTCACCCTCTGTGCAGGAAAGCTTGTGTAGTCTGACAGCTTATTTCAAACTCTGTTTCCACGTTCTCTTGGAGCTTTCAGGGCACTGTGCAAATAAGTGATGCAAAACAGCGCTCTCAGCCTTGCCTGCTGGTCAATTTGACCTGAATAATGTTATTCTCTTTGGAAAGGAAATGTCCCATCCTGCTCATCCTTGAGTATTTTTTTCCCCACATATTTTCAGTCCTCAAGAGCAAAGGCCCTTGAATTCTCAGTTTCTTTTAATCATGCCCTTGTGTTATTTGATCTATTAGACAGGACCTTTCAAGCAGGGATACACATAGCTTGGTTTATGTTTCCTCTGCTCATTCTTAATTGTTCAGCATTAATTGATTTATCTAACTCCATCATTCCTGTAGTCCTGCTAAAAACCAAACCCAAGCAAGTGATTTACTGTTATCACAAGTTGTGTAGCTACTTAGGTTATTGATTCATCTACATACTCCTGTACAAAGAGCAGCTTCACTTACAGTAGAGGTAATGTCTTAACAACAGGGCAAACAAAGTCACGTCATTGCAAATAACCTTTACAATAAAAGCAGAAAGAGATTATTGGAAGAAGTTACTCTTGCCAAATTCTGCCTCTTTCAGAGGCAAATTCCGTGCTGTGGTACATTCATTTATCGTAGACACACAGTCCTTTCCCCACCTCAAATGTAAAATTCTCCTACCATGGCAACAGAAGAGATGCTGCAATGCTCAGACCGGAGACGAAGGCCACAACGTAAGCCAGGATCAGGTTTGGGATGGTCACCAGCATGACTGCAAAAGGAATCATCCACTGAGGAAGAAGAAAAACAGCACATCTAACTCACGGTATGCACCGCTCAACGGTATAGAGATTGTTCTTTTCAAAATGTATGATTACGTTATAAAACGGCTCACACACAGCAATGCCTCAGGATTTTGGTGAAATGGCATTTCCAAAAAGCCTTGAGCCAAACCTATGCAGCAGAATCGGAGAAAAATAGGACAGGCCATGGCAGTGCCTTCTCTGGGAGCGTTGTTAGGGCTATACTTGTGCTAGTAAATTAAGTAGTCCCAAGAGCCTATTTATCAGTCATGAGGCCAACTGGCAGATCCTGGCCACATTCATACTCCTAACCATTCTGTCTCCAAAAGAAGTGTGGCTGTATAAATGCTTTTTGTGAAGAGCCCTGAAGTGGGCTAGTTCCCAAACTGTGCCTCGATACTTTCTGGGAGATTGCTCATCAGATTTTTCTGCCAATAATCTAGGCCAAAGGAACCATTTAATTTACCATTAGACACAAAGCCATCATCACCCTGCATTTCAAGGGGAGGGGTAGGTCATTTAAACTGCAATTTAAACTGCAATTAAACGGTCATTTAAAACTGTAAATATCTCATTTCACAGATCTTGAGCCTTGAATGGAGAAGAGTTTGCTTACACCTTCATTTCCAACGACCACTTTAAAGCCATGTAGGTACTTGGCAAGAGCTCAGACCAGGAGGGCAGTGTGGTTTGCCCCCCCTCCTCAGAGCCAGAGACGCTCACGACATCGCACAACTCACCAAAGCTACTCTCAAAACCAAACTAATTTGGGATGCTCAGGATTTGTTTTCTGGCACTCCTTGAAACCACTAGATTTCCTCAACTTCAACTGGAGGCAATGGGCTTACAGGACTGAAAATCCACTATTTTAGACGCTGATTGAATGCATACAGCCCAGCTGTCCCATACCCATCACATGCTCCACCTCCCACGCCTGTGAACCGTGGGCACGGCACATGGAGTATCCAGAACCAGAGGCTTATCTACGGGGCTTTTTAATGATGGGGGATTAGTTTAACATTAAGTGTTTCAATCCTCTCTACTTGCAGCTTGGGAGCTGAGGGTATGAGAAGAGCTTTCACAGAGAGCGATTCCCCTAAGCACTGCTATTTACAGTCCTGTATGATAAGTGATTCTGGGAGTCCTGGAGCCTAATCCATTATGTTTATGTTTTAAATGCATTTCCCATCTAAAGCATTTGCTCCTAACCTAAGGAGGCAGAAAATAACCTTTCCTGACGGCAAGTTCCCAGTTGCAGACAGATAATCCTTGCATTAGCCCAGTCTTGTGGCCAAATCGTTATTTCACCACAAGAGAGCACTCCAGCAATACAAGACTTTACGTTTCCTAGAAGCAATTTTATGACCGCCTGACGCTCCGCATGGGGCACCCACTCAGGAACCAAAGCACTTCAACAAAAATCTAGATCGATAATAATAATAATAATCATTGGAACTGTGATTTTCTGCTGAAAGAGAAGCACGGCCCGCAGGCCTGAAGCTACAGTTGCCCTCAAGTCTCACTCACGCGATGGCAGCGCAATCAGGGGGGCAGTGCTCCTGCTGCAACAAACAGCTAATGCTTCTCCTCCTTTCCTACTCCTAAAGCAGACACTCCGTTATTGGCACCCTGCTCCCTGGTCACAGGGCTGCTGTCATCTGAGTCATAAGTCATTCTGCCCCTCTACTCTGCACTGGGGAGGCCACAACTAGAGTACTGCGTCCAGTTCTGGGCTCCCCAGTTCAAGAGGGACAGGGAACTACTAGAAAGAGTCCAGCGAAGGGCAACAAAGATGATTCAAGGATTGGAGCATCTCCCTTATGAGGAGAGACTGAGAGAGCTGGGACTCTTTAGTCTGGAGAAGAGAAGGCTGAGGGGAGACCTTATCAATGCCTACAAGTATCTCAAGGGCAGGCTGAGGGAGGAGGGAGCCAGACTCTTTTCAGTGGTTCCCAGTGAGAGGACGAGGGGCAACGGGCACAAGTTGGAACATAAGAGGTTCCACTCAAATCTGAGGAGAAACTTCTTCACGGTGAGGGTGCCAGAGCCCTGGAACAGGCTGCCCAGGGAGGTTGTGGAGTCCCCTTCCTTGGAGATTTTCAAGACCCGCCTGGATGCAGTCCTGAGTAACATGCTCTAGCTCTAGGCAATCCTGCTGCAGCAGGGGAGTTGGACTAGATGATCTCTATGGTCCCTTCCAACTCTAAAATTCAGTGAAATTCAGTGAAATAAACGATATCCCATGGTTGTTGTCATGTGCCTTCCATCCATTCCCTGACACAACTATGGAAGGTGACCCTACTGGGATGCCTCAGGTGGTGCTGGCCTGGGCAGCAGCACATCACGGAGGGCAGGTGAGGAGAAGGCACAGCCAGGATGTGAGTGGAAATGGGGACGGGAGCCTGGGAAGAGGGGCTGCACAGGCAGGGGGGATCCAAGGGCACGTCTCCCACGCTGCGCAGGGCTGACAGACAGCACATAAACCATTGTGGCAATGAGGAGAGGTGAAAAGACACTTTGGGATTTATTTTTTACTAAATCCTCCAAAAGGCTAGAGTTTTGTGAGAGAGAAATCTTCCACTTTTGGACACCCTTCCAAAACCATGAACCAACAAGCTGCCACACTTCTTAAAATTTCTCATGGCAACCCCACCTCCAGTCACCAGGTGGGAGACTTACTGAGGGCAAGTTCAACGTTTGCCCCGTGAGGGCAAAGCCCATGACCTAAATGAACATAGCACGTGGAGGCACAAGGAAATAAACAGAAGGGAATCATTTCTAGCAGGTGCACCAACCTGATCATGGGAAGAATGCTATCAAGGATCCTGCTTGGGTATGACCCTGTACTTCCAGAAGATCCAGGCTTTAAACTTCTAGCAAGTTTAGATACTTAGTACTTAGGCTGTTGGTCATCTCTCGTGGAGGAAAGAGTATAAAAGGGAGCAATACCACTGGAAGAAGCCAAGATTCTTGTTGCTTATCTACCTACCCTGTCTTCTATACTCTTTCAGGGGTCCACTTTAACCACTTTAACAGGAAAAATTATTCTGGAGCAGTGTGGATTTTTTTTTCCAGGAAGCTGAATTACAAATTCCATCTTCACCCTGAAAGCCGAGTAAGGTTTTGGAGAAAAAAACCTTGTTTTCTCCCCTGTCTCCTTCGCTTCCAGGAGAACATTCCCCAGTGCCAAACATAGGAGCCTTAAGTGATGTGATTTTATTTTCCATTGAGAGAGAACAGATTAGTTGAACAGATCACACAAGGTGGTAATATAGGAAGCCCCTGGATTTGTTGCCAGATGAAATCCATCGCTGAGCACACACCGAGTCCCTTGAGTAATGTCTACAAGGTGAAATAGAGAGGTGGCTTTTTTTCAGTCCAGCTCCCATTTAGACCATAATACAGTCAAGCAACTCAACTGTAAAATTAAGTTAAACCATGTTTACAGAGGTGCTGACAGGCTTTCCAGTCATGTTAAACTAAATTTATAGAGCCAAGTCAGTTGAAGAAAGCATTTTTTGTAGCCAAGTAGACAGAGGAGTAGATTTCCTAAGGAGGAAATCTGCAATCCCTGGTCCAGTCAATGGTCCAATACTTCTTTTGGCAATTCTCTTTGTTCAAATGGTAAAAAGAAATGAGGACGGGACTTGTATTCCAGATGCCTGCCTCAAAACGGGTAACGATTCAGCAGATTTGGAACTTGGGTTTTAAAGTTACTTCTGATTCTTTGGAAATCATTCCAACACAGAGTTTTTAATTCCAAAAAATTATAACTGTTCAATTATGTTCAACAATTGTCACCAGACCTAAACTTTTCAGCTTTGTTCAGATTTTGACATATACAGCTTCAGGCTGGATTTTCCAAGTCCTCATGCTTTGTTGTGCACAAGGCAGACAATTTTTCTTTCCTCTTTCATAAGAGGTAATTGAAGGTAAACAGGGGAAAAATGGGGAGGAACAGGCCTATACAATGACTCACTGAGGATGATGACAGAAAATTGCTGCTGTCTGCGCTAAGTGAAGGACTTAAAATAATCCATCAGAGAGGAGGGCAGGCTCGCTGAGCTGGCTTTGCAGAGCTGTGTCAGAGTTAAACGAGGCTTCTTTTCTCAGGTAGGTCACCTATTTCTTTACTTTGCTAATAACTGTCCATCTCTGTTCAGAGGGAAGTGGGCACCCCTGCCTACTTGCATTTCTAAAGAAGGATGTGTAACAGACTTTTGTTTCCTCCTCTGGGACTGAATTACAGATGTGGTCAACTCAGCACTGTATAGAAAGAGAAAACAAGCCTTATACAAGAGATAACTTGTCAACCCGAAGCAAGGCAGATCTGAATTTATAAAACCTCATTGGGGTTCACTTCTGAGACCAGTGAAATGCAGATGTGCAGATTCTTAAAGAAGCCGGAACCTCCTTTCAGCATCAATCCATTTCTCAAAAGTTTCTCTCGGAAACTTGGAATCTGTCTGAACTTTGGTACAAATGATTTAAAAGGAACTCTGAAACTCAGCAAGTTTCAGGTAGCTTGAGGTTACAAGCACTTGAAAGAGCTCCTGAAGTGGCTCCAGTTGTCAAATGAAGTGAGCACAAGCAGATTTTTTTCGCAAAGGATTTGCTTACCGAAATCCCACATGCTGCACACTTCTTGCCAAATCGCTGCAGAAACTTCTGCCAGAAAGGAATGCTCACAGCTGCTGATACCTACAAAGGACAAAAAAACCCCGTATCAGTACTGAGCTTACTGCCACTGTCTTCTTCAGCTGCAGAGCTCACAGACACCTTTTTGTCTAATGCACTAAGGTCTGAAAGGAAGATGAACTTGCAGATTCCTGTTTCTCCTCATCCTTTGAATGATTTTTTTTTTTGGTTTTGATTCACTATTACATATGACAAACAATACCTATCTGTGAAAGGGTTTTCCACAGAAGGCAGTATCTTAAAATTTCCTTTTCCTAATGTAAGCCACAGCAGTTAAAGTTATACACGACACAGTCATTAAAGTTCAAACATATTGCAAATACTTTGTGCTAATGCCTTTTGCCTCGTGAGCCAAACCTGACAAATGACAAGGGAATGAAGCTCTACGTCATCGTACAGGAGAAAGGCTGAAGCACAAGATACACTTATCTTGAGACATACTCAGAGTACCCATCCCACACTACATGTTTATTCTCAGGAACAATCTGTAAGAGAAATAATCGCTTACAGTCAACATTACCGTGTCATATATTGTAATACTCACTTGGTAGCAGCGATAACCACAGGCAACATAGTACCAATACAATGAAGTATTGACCTAAATTCGATGGCAACATAGTACCAATACAATGAAGTATTGCTACTCATGACAGTCTTACAATTGACCTAAATTCAAGTGTCATCTCATCGTTACAGTTATATTTGACTCTTTACTGACTTTAACTCCACTATTTCTTATCTCTCTTCTTGGTGTCCGTTACTTGCAGAGCCTGAAGACACCCAAGAGTCACCCCTTGCTCTCCAATATTGTGGGTTTTAATAATTGGAAAACATCTGTCTTCTAATGTGGGAAAGGAAGAATCAAAAAGGGGTAGAAAGGGTGGGGGGCTGTCACCAAGAAGTGGAAATGACGTTCCCCTAAGATGGTTCCACAAAGTCTCTGTGTCAAATGGCTCAGAAGTCATGCAACAGCTTCCCTGAAAATCATTGCTGCAGTATTCTATATGGTAGAAAAATTCTCTACAAAATATTTTGAAAGTGCAGTACATGCCCATCCCAGCAATTATGCAGCATTAATTGTTCTACTTGTGTTTAAAGGACTGTGGCCAGAAGGATGAAAATAGCATTTTTTGACTAATACTACTTGCAATCATAAAGTAAATCATGGAATACAGGAATAGTGTGTAATCTCAGTTTTAAGTATCACCTAAGCAAGCAGAATTCTACCTCTGCATGTCAAGAGAAAAGGTTCTGTAAAAGGATATTTTTATCACACTGCCAATTGCTCTAGAGAGGAATCTTCCCATCTCTGGATATTTTAAATATTTATCCTTGCAAGCTGCCTGGCCCAGAAGACTCATGTGTATGAATACCAAAATTAAAGTTGTTTAATTTTCAGTATATCAGCCTGGGGAAAGGGAAAAAGGAGCTACAGTTCCAGACCTCCTTTCTGGCAGCAGCTTTTGTCTTTTATAGGAGCAGGAAGTAACTTACAGGTAAAAGCAACAAGGAATGAATTAAAAGCTCTAAAGCATTACCTTTTTAGTACAGTAGAGAACACCACCTTTATTTTGAACAGGCAATGTAAAAGATAGTGTAGCTTCTTAACAGCTCTGTCCAGACAGAGAACTGTTCTTGTCTTCTGTTATTTTGTGCCAAAACCCAGTGAGAACCAGCTGTCAAATAGAAAGATGGGAGGGAAGTGCAACTCACCAAGATGGTCACCACCAAATACTGGAAGTGATTGCGAAGACCAGCAGCATGAGTGCAGAACAGGACAAAGTTGCTCTGCTCCAGCTGTTGAATTGAAGACATTTGGTGACAACCAAAAAAGAAAGGAAAAATAAAAAGACAAAAAAATGATGTCCCACTCCGTACTAGCCAAACACAGTTGTGACTGATCTGTTAAATGTCGGGTTTGTGAGTCTCATATTTCCCTCGTTTGCAAAAATTTAAAGAAGCAATAACTCTCCTGCTGTCACTGAAGTAACATGGGAATAATATTGGGGCAAGCAAGAGACAAACCATGTACCTAATACAGCATAAAAATGACCAAAACAGGAACTACCTTACAAGAGGATTCTATCTAAAGGCTTTATTCCCTATGTTGCAATTGCCTTGTGATGTTGTCACAGCCACAGCTGCAGATTACTGCAAGAAATTGCCTTTCCTTTTCCATAGCAATGCCATAAATCTTTAATCAGAAGCTCTGACTCCAAAACAAGTTACTCCAAAACAAGCTGGAATTATGCTCACGACAACTTCCCGTAGTAAAGCAGCTGCCTGCTGGTTTTGTGTACAACCTTGGCTGTAGAGTGTAGCTTTGGGTCAAACACCTCCCTAAGTCTGAGCACTCGTTGGATGAGCTTCACTGTGTTATAATGACACAGGAAGCTGCTGCCACCTTGCTTTTGCAGAACTCAGGGTGGGTCTGAACACCAGAATATGGTTCAGGCCCAGCTCCAGCAATTCTGCAGAAGCAGAATGACAGAGGAGGATTTGATACACATGCCACAGCAGTATGATCAGCTCTTGCTCCTTTGTGCGCTTGTAGCTTATAAGTGGCCAATTATTTGCATACAAATTAGGATAAAAGGATAAATCCCTTCTTCATTGCCACCAAAGCCTTCCTTAGCTTGTCCCCCAGTTTACGCTGCCTTCATTTTAGATGTAGAATATCACATTCTGGGATTGTAGCCAATCTTTACCTCCCTATTCCTTCTCTTATCAGTAATCCACTCACTATATTCCATGAAGGCAGTGTCCCTCCCTTGAGTAACAATAGCAAGGGTGGCTCATGCTGGCTGAACTGGAGCAACACAGCTTCCAGCTTCTGCCTCCCCTCACACCTCGGCTTCAGTCAGTACAAATAGAAAAATAAAGAGATATGGACTGACAGAAGATCTTTTCCTCTCTGGGTGTTGCCAGCGAGTAGCTGGCTGCCAGCAACCAGATGTGTGCTGCATCCTTACGGACTGAGTGGATGCTGGAAGGATCTGGACCATAAGGCACCTTTCATCTTTCATCTTCTCCTTGTCTCTGCTGTTGCTCTCTGGTGCCTGCAGCTCCCAGATGTAGGCAGAAATCCTTCTGCTACTGTTCCACATCCTTGGGCCTTCCAGCAAGGACTGATAGGTAAAGGAGAGCCTAGTAACTGTGCCCAAAACCAGGCCAACGAGAAACTTCAGTGCTTCTTTGGCAAACAGGCTTTTAAGTAGCCCTTCCAAGGAACTTACTGATTCACCAGGACTTCTGGTGAACACAGAGCTGCCCTCTTATATGCCCTGTTCTTCCCCTCTGTCTTGATATTCACCTGATCAATGGCTCATGTGACTAAGAGTCTGTTGATAAAAATGTGAATATTACTGGCTTTTCAAAATAAAGCCAACTTCAACTGGTATCTACAGGGTGACATTAAAATAACATATTCACCGAGTTGAGCATAGCTCAAAAATCAAACTTTAGAAAGAATGCTGGACTATGGAGTGTAAGGGTTTCTTACTGAGTGGTTTTTTACAGGTCCTCTCTATGGGAGGACATATTGCATCTTTTTGCGAGAGCCACGTTAAACTGCAGGTCCTCATTTGAAAATTAACCCCATCTAGCTCTGAGACAGGTAAGAGCTCCTCTCTGAACATCACCTTACTCTGACCTAATGCCTTCTGTGACAAAAGACTCCACAAGAACCAGTTCAGCCACTATCTGAGAACAGCCACCTATGCAAAGGAAAGGGGCAACGGTTTGAAGTGGCACACACTAGAGAGAAGAACAGAGAAAAGAGAAAAAGCATTCTCTAAGCAACTGAAACCACAGGACACTGTAGCTGGGTAACATATAATGACCTAATCTGGGTCACTAGGACTAGTTCCTCACCTTTTATGACAAAAAAAAAAAAAAAAGAAAAAAAGAAAAAAAGAAGCCATCTTTAAGAAAAAAAAAAAAAAAAAAGAAAAAAAGAAGCCATCTTTAAATGGTCAGGACTTTGGTTTTGCTTCTCATTTGAAAGAACCATCTCCAGCCACATAGGCCCCCAGGCACCAAAAAAAGGGCTTTGGTTCCCTACTGATTTGTAGGGACAGGCACCACCCCCTAGATCACAACCTCCAGTCACCAGCCAAAGGTTATTTGCATTTTAGCTGCCGCAGACTCTCCCATGCTGGGACTGGAATGAGGCCAACAGACAGACTTAGAGAGTCTGAAGTTACCTGAACTGCTGTCGAGATGAGAAGAAATGAAGCTGTAAGCTTCACATATGGACCATGCTTCATGGTGAGTCCAAGCCCCTTACAAAAAGGAATTGCTCTGTCTGAATTTAAGGCATAAGGATCTAAGAGGAGCAGAATACATAAAATAACAATCTTTTTCAGAAATGGATGTGAAATTATTATTATTAAATCTAGGCACACTTAAATATATCTTACCATCTTTTTCCTTTACTCCGAGAAAAAGAATGACAATTCCAAGAAGATACACACCTCCTATGACCCCTGCTGCAATCATATAAACTGTTGCCTTTGGAAAGAAAAAGACATATATGAAATTGTGACAGTAGAATGACAAGTCATTATGAAAATTTCAGTCTCTTTCTGGTGAGTCATCTGCAAATGAAGAAATGCCCGTCTACAGACAGCCAACTGTCTGTCTTTTACCCCTCTGAAAAATGTTCACTTCTGCAGTTCATTTATAAACAACACCTACTTTAGGATAAATCCAGGGCACAGAAGTATATATTCCTTGCAAAAAAAAAAAGGAGCTGTGAACAAAAGGGCTACTGTGTTGGCAACCTGAATGTTTTAAAAATTTGCTTATGTTGAGACTAGCTACAGACATACACAGACTTCTATCAAAAACATGCAGCATCCCTGGAGTGATTCTGATTTTCAGTAAATCCAGTGGATCTAGTACGACAGACTGCAAAATCTGTCTCTGTATCTATGCTGGAAAGGAAAGGCCTCAGTACTGATGTAAACATAATTACTACAGTTACTGCATTTATACATAATGATAATAAAATCTTCCTTTAGGCTCTAATGAATTTCAGAAATCACACTTTCACACCAATGTTTTGAGAATATGATAGCTTGTGTGCTTGTTTTCCCAGTTACTTAGTGAAATACTTGAGCATATTCAAAAATCTTTGCTCCCTAATAACCAGGGGAACAAAGCCTCCGAGGATACCCCACACACCATTAGATCACATTTATTGTTTCTAAGTCTGATCACACTGATTCCTGAATAAAGCTTAAAAAAATTTTTTTTGCTTTAGTATTCTGTAATAACACCATTTTAAACTAGCCCCTAGTGAAAACAAAGGCTGGCCATATACCTCCTGGCTACTTTACAGTTTGGCATCTTCAGCAAAGTTCCTCAGTGTAATTCTGGTGCCAGGCTGAGAAGTGGTTGCAAAGACACGGATGGGAAGCCCCGTTTGCAACAAGGTCAGTGTCTCCATTCCAGCATTACTGATTTCAAGGAAGCCACGTTCCTGCTCATCCAGCTGGATATGATATGGTGTTATAGAAACAGCCCCACCCCTCCTCCTAAGAGATTTTTGGGTGCTCCTATCGACACTTACTTGATGAGAGAGGGGGTCTGAGGGGTCTGGAAAGCTGGGAGCATCATACCAGGAGTCGGTTGTATTTACTGGGGGAGTCACAGTGCAGTGATGAGAGACATGAGCACTGGCCACAATCTGCCCCTGAAGCGCAGCTCCAATCAAGGTGCCAAGCACTTCCATGGTCATTCCTAAAGAAGAAAGCACAAGGTGCACTGAGGATGAGAACTCAATTCCTCCACCATCTGCAAGCTTGCTCATCTGTCTCAATGAAGAAAAACCTCAACAAACCATTTTCTTTTGCAGGGAACAAGCAGAAAAAGCAATACCAAGAACAGCAGAACTGGAAGGTCAGAAATAGAACAAATTCAAGGAAAAGGGGTTTTGTCATCTATTTTCTAATCAGCTTTTAGAAGCCTTCATGGAAGAGCTTCTTTTAGAGATGGATACGGCTGAGATCAAGAGCCACAGGGGGATGGCATAGAAACCTTTCATATCGAGGGCCAGAGCAGAACCACACTTTAAATTTTGACTGCCATTTTTGCAAAGCAGGACTCGGAGCCAGAACATCAGACTTTTCATCACTTTATAAGAAGTAGCAAGATCTGAGCAACAGGCATATTTCAAAGTTCTTGTGTTCAGAATTTACAATTACTTTCCACCTTAACCAAAATAGCTGATCTTTCAGAAAGCAGATCATACCTTGAAGTAAGTTATATTTTTCCCAGAATGTAAGTAGGATTTATGTTAAAGCAACTTTGGAATCCAATATTTCTACCTTGCATTCATAGTAAGAAGCAGGACAAAATTTATAGTAAGTAGTTCTGCTTGTCTCCAGTAGAGGGTAATGGATCCTCTCATCCCAACCGTTTTTTTAAAAGCACACTAAAAACACATTATACAGCTGGTTTTCTTTAAACAGCTGAAGAAATGCCTGAACAACTGACTGCATCCAAGAAAGCCATCAACAAGAATTCTCTGTGAAACCCAAAGAGAGGCAAAAGTGTAAAACACTTGTTTAAAAAAAGAGGAAAAAAAAATTTCTCACATAATCATAACCATTACCAGAAAACTTGGCTCCAAACAAATATAATTTCAAAATATACAAAAACACTGACATTTGAAAAGCTAAAACTATGGTTCATTCCACCACCCTAACTTGGCTTAGGGGAATGGCTGGACACTCAAAAGTTAAACCCTTTCTGAATAATAAAATGACACTATAAATGTATAACACCTCTCAGCCATGGAGTTCAACAGCTTTTATGAGCAAAAATTTCACATGCCTATGAAGCCTTGCATGGGACTAGCAGACAGGAAAGCACATTTATTTGGATCACAGCCTCTGAAGACATAAAACCAGACAATAGAAAACACTAGGTACATGGATTTAGTTAGAATTTAGGCCAGATGACTCAGAATACAGTCAGTGCCAAAGAATATAACCCAACTGGAATCTCCCGCTGTTTAGTCCTGTCCTATGACTTCCAGTCCAGACTTTCTCCTGAGATAGTTGATGATAATGCAAATTACAACTGTTCCATGTGCTGGAAGGGGATTGGGTGTCTCAGGGAGCATTTTATTCAGAATTTCTGACATGGTTTTTTTAGCACTTCTGGCCATTTCATTGTGCCTCTGTGGTCTATTTCTCAACATACTCAAGCAAGTATGTTGATAGTTAGAAGGACTCATGGAAGAGAAAAGGGTTCTTGTCAGGAAGAGAAAAGAGATGCAACAAAAAAATTACAAGTTGTTCTAAAGCAACACTGAAAGACAAGTTAAGACATAGAAAAGTCTTGCATGTGATATTTGACTCTCTTCTCTTTACCTTGCTTAATGTTGGTGGCCATGAGAGACAGCAGGTACATAGCGAAGAATGAGAATAGAGCGTGAGAACCGAGGTGAAGAGAGTAGGAATGGAAGAAACTGTTCGTACATTCAATTTATGATCTATACAGGAAATCCTGAAAATATTGCACTTTTTTGGTCTGATCGATCTCCTTCAAAGCAAAAATTTTGCCTGGTTGTGATTGTTGCAGAGCCGGAGATGTTCCCGGGCTAGTCTGGAAGCCCTCGTTCTTTTAACTAACACAGTCAGAGTACTAGTTATATAAAAGCAAGATCTGTCCTTAAACTACTGCTGTATGTTAGAATTAAATAAATGCAGATGAAATAAAAAGAGAGATTTCAGCTGGTGTGAACATGCACACAAAATTACTCTCCTTTTTTGATGAGGCTAACTGTCTTGATTCTATGACTTCTAGAATTTTTTTCAAAGAAAATAGTTTTGGGATCTGAATTTATAATGTGAAACACATGAACCTAAGGAAATCTGAATACCCCTCCACCCCTCACGCCTAAATACTCAAAATCACTTTCAGATTTTCTTTAATTGAATGTTAAAGAAAGTCAGCACTTTGGTTTTTTCCCCTACAAATCACCTTTAAATGAAATCATTATTCGCTACCCTGGCTTGGGTAAGAGTGATTTTTATTGTTTCGTCTGGCTAGCAATAAACCAAAACCAGTTTATAGCTAATGAGACAATTTGAGACAATAAAACATTATTGTCTCCTGTTTAGCTAGAAAAATTGAAGCATTTACAAGACAAAATATTTTTTCATCAGGTATTAGAAATCTCATACAAAAGTCCAGTTTAGGGACACAAACCATTAGGGACTTCCTATAGATAAAGAATGATTTTAAATAAAACTCAGCCCTAATCCACATGAGAAAGGCCAGATCACACTCACGGTACGCAGTTGCAGAATCTCTCTCCTTCTGGTCCGTGCTGAGAAACATGGTGAGGGCAGAATATGGTACTTGGAATAACTATGCAAAGAAAGAACATCACTTAGGAAATGTCAGGGTAAATGCTGTATTCTTCTGATATCCCAGAAAGTGTTTTAATGTGACCTCGGAATTCACTTATTTAGAACATTGTATTTTTTAGCGTGTAGACCTGTCTTTCTGATTTGTAAAGCACATAAAAGGAAAAAAAAGAAAGTAACTTTCATAATATAAATAATAAATTACCAAGTTGCTTTACCTTAATGCTGTGCTCCTTCAGCTTCCTTGGGAAAATGTCCTTTATAGCTAGGCAATAAAGCATCTAGTTTTCTTTGCACTAGGAGACTATCGTGTTCCTAGCTTGAGCTAACTAACAGGAAGCAAAGCCATAAGGAAAACAACACAATTTTCCACTTTATTCAAGCCAGAAGAGTGTATAAATCCCCAAAATAGTTCAGATATCTGTCTCACTATGTAATTCCAGGAGATAATTGTGAAAACTACTTTGTCTTCAGCACCATTTTGCCACACATTCCTTAATCTGAGTTAAGAATAGATAAAAACACACAATTGCTATGTCCATTCACTGAAAAACCAGTAGATTAGGAGTGTTGCTTATTTGTTTTTACAGCACTGTATCTAGCATGCAATTGATACAGTGCTGTAAAATCTTGCTGGAAACAATGCACTGATAATATTTATTGCAATGCTGGGTAAATGACCCCCACTTTTACTGCAGGAGAAGCCTTATGTCCAGTTGTACTTAATTGAAAATAACTACTGAATATTAAAGGCTTCGACTTTTGGATGGTCATGATGTGAGTGGGACCCTGGCCTCATAGTGTTGACCTAAAATAACTTCAAAAATGTCAGAACAACATATAGGCCAAACTCCCAAACTCTCAAACAAGAAATATAAATGTTTTAAATGCCTGGGAACCACTTTTTCAAAACGTGGTCCAGTGAAATTCAATCAGCTGGGATACACCCTGCCAAATTGCAAAGCAGCTGCCTCACTTCCAGTGCTCATCTGCGGCCCTATACAGCTTTGCACTGAAGACACCTTGTGTCACCTTCATACTGGCTACAAGGCAAAATGGGTGACACAACCCCTACATGTGCAGTATGGAATTGTATCGGAAAAGTTCTTTGGGATCCACTGAAATTATGGCTTCTGCATAAATATTGCAAGTTCTGGGCTGTATTAAAAAAATTTACATGCTCAAACTCTTCTATCCAAGCATGAATATCGTGATGTCTGCTATCAGGACTATTTGAGGTCTGTATTTCAGGACTTTCCATAGTCTTCTTGCTTGAGTCAAAACACCCAGGACTAGGGCCACAAACCTACTTGGCCTCCTAATCTACTCCTCAACACAGAAGTTTTGAGAAGTTAGATGTCTAACTGGAATTAAGAATACAAATGTCTCCGTGGGTCTCTATAGTCTTCTTGCTTGAGTCAAAACACCCAGAATTAGGGCCGCAAACCTACTTGGTCTCCTAATCTACTCCTCAACACAGAAGTTCTGAGAAGTTAGATGTCTAACTGGAATTAGGAATCCAAATGTCTCCGTGGGTCAACAAGAATGAGTTGAGTATCTAGGGCTCTGCCAAGGAAAGTGACTGGAGTTAATCTATCTGAATTAGCAGGTCATTTGCCAGAGAAAGCGTTGGCAGAAACCATCAACCAGCAGAGAGTTTGACAAAAAAGGACATCTGCTTATCCCTTCAACTCACTAGAAGTGGAAATCAAATGTAAAATGTTGGTAAATCTCAGTTTACTACACCTGAGTGCATTAACATAGACAGAAAACAAGCCAATTACTGCTAAGACCATCACAACCTGTAATCTACTTACTGTGGTCAGGGCTTGGAAAAGGCAGTAGAAAGTCAGGTACCATGCAACTCTTCCTGATACAAAAGGAGGCAGGTACCACATAAAAAAATAGGACACTACTGTGAAGGGTGTACATGCCAGCATCCTGCAAAGAAGATTAACACATGTCAACAATCTCAACATAATGATAGCAAAGCACATTGAATTTTCCTGCTAATAATCAATATAATGTGATTTATTTTGTTTTATTTTATATGATTTTATTTATTTTATGCAGTTCTTCTAACTACAATAATGCCACGTTTTTAAGAATGAAATGTTAGCATGCATTAAATACACAGATTAATGTAAAATGTATACAAGTACTTCCACAAAATGGAAAAAGCCCAGCAAATCTGAAGGAAAAGAGCTATACTTAATAGCCCACTCAGAACAGACACAATTTCCTTGCACATGCACTGTAACAGCACACCTATAATGTCATTCCTTAGTATATGTCTCAGGCTACCTATTTATTAGAAAGAATCACTGAAAACTAAATTGTGTTGTCACATGTCTTCGCATACTTCAGCAATTTTTACATGAGCCTACTTATTACCAAGGATTCCCTCTTCCAACTTTAATGCCTTCAGTTTTCCTCTCAACTCTAACCTCTTCATTGCTACTTCAAGCAAGTGCAAATATGTTGATACACTTAAAAATGCTGAAAACAGCATAAAAGATAATGGACAGGCCACTAAGTTCTTAGTGTCTGTACCTACTTGGATACGTGACAATTTGCTTCATTTAACTCAACAGCAAAACTCCTAATCACTTCAAATACAAAAGGATCATCTTGTGGTGAGGAAGGTGGCTAAAAAAAGAGCCACAATAACTTAAATTGAGACATTGCCATTAACCTGCAATTAATTACATTGGTCTAAAAACTATTTCAGGCAAAAATCACTTGTCAAACTCCATGATATGGAGGAAGTGGTCAGATGCTATTATTTCCTAAAAGTCTGAGCTGCAGCAGCATCAGGGCTCTCCTGTATTCTTGTAAATCAGACATGAAACAATATAATTAGATGACCAAGAACCCAACAAAAAATATCCAAACACGCACAAGAGAAAACAGATTAATCCCTTCACAACAGCACTACTGACATTGGGGGTCAGCTGACTATTTTGCAATCGTGAACTGAAAACCTTGAATACAAAAGAGTAATGTGGGTAAATAGTTTAGTGAAACAATGGCTTTCCCACACTGCTCTTTGGGATGGACAGCATCGCTGGGAGCTGAGCATTTACAAGGAAAGTGCCAGGTTCTGGTATTCTCTGTCCCTCCAGTCCCCAGTTCATTCACAGCTGGCCAGCAATGGAAAACACAAATAAGGGTAAAATCCTGACACATCTCGGGGAATCTACCTTCCTCTCAAAAAGTGTGAGCTCTTCCAGACCAGTGTCCAGAGTCACCACAGTAAAATATTTTCATTGTCAGTTTTTCATGCAACTTTTCAGCAATAACCCTCTTAGTATTCCTCCTCCTTTCCATCCTCTTCCCATATTTTCTTTTCCTCATTAAAGTCCATGAGTTTTCAGAGCCTTGCTGAAGCTGCTGAATATCTCATTGTCTACTATTATCTGCTTTGACAAAGTATCTGACCAGGTTTGTGTATTTCATCAAGTCAATGTCTGCTTATGCCTTTTAAACACATTGCACAAAAAAGACCAATAGTGATTCATGACTTTTTTTTATACTGAGTACAGCATTAACCTATAGTTAAATGTTCACCTTCTTTACTAATGTTCTTGCTTTGCTGGCAAGCTTTTCTGACTGAGACAATTCCATTGCTTCACTCTAGATACTTTAAAAGCAAGAAAAATACCAAATACTAAATTATTTTTAAGTTAATGAAAGACCCTTTTTTTTTCTTGCTCTGTATAAATACAGTCTGACCTCCTTCAAAGTGTAGTAACAAGACTGCCTTAAAAAAACTACCATTACAAAATAAACCAGATAAAATTCTTCTGTAAAGAAAGCAGCTGTTTGATGAATGCATATTATTAGGCTGGTTAGATAAGCACTTTTCCTGTAAGAAGAGTAAGTTGTACAGAAGTTGGTTTACAGTGCAAAGGGTTGATAAGTTCATGCTTGTGCTAGGATGGGAATTACTTTAATATTGATTTAACACTAAACACATGTGTTTGCACTATCGTCAAAGAACTGAAAAAAGAGGCATCAGAATACATCCAATTGCATTTATATAAAAATGTCATTATTTTATTTTTTAATAACTTCATTACTCAGTTAATTCAGTGCTCATTAAAAAGCATTCAATTTACCTGGCCACAAATCAAATCCTGAAAAGAGAAACAGCAGCAACCTCCTCTTTTCCCATGGGGCTCTTGACAAAGGGCTTAACTTTGACCCGAAGGCCGTATTCCTGCTGAGGCCAAGAGCAGCTGATCTCAGCCTTCTTCCAGAATATACTTGCTTTCTAGTCTTTGTCAGATATAAGCTGCCCACGGACAAATTTCTGTAGCCCTAAAACCACACGACAGCAAGAACTAAAAACCTGGGATTATTTTCATGAAAATTCAACTTCTTTGCTCAGGATACCAAATTTACTCTTAGATTTTTGTTGTGGGGGGTTATATTCATTCAAAATTCATAATTAATTCAAGATATCTTACAGTATTACAATACATCCTTATAATGCATGAGATAGAGCAGTGACTGAAAGACTCCCTATTGCACAAACTACTCAGTCTCCCCTTGACTTCCAAAATATGACACCCTCAACAAATAAATGTCCTATGGAATAAACAAGCTTGGGTTATTTTAACATGGACCAATCCTTTCCAATTTTCTTGCTTCACACCTGCGTATCTCCTTCTTTATGAGTAACATTCATTCTTTTAGTTTCTCCTTAAAGCCCATGGGCAGCACACATACCAGTGTGCTAGCAAGAGTGCAAACAACAGGTAAGTATGTCACAGTGAAGCATCACACTGTCCCTTTAGAAATGCTGATCAAAATCTCACAGCATCTCATTCATTATAAAAGTCATGGTGACTTTTTAAATTAAGTGTCTCGATTATGGGGGTGTAGGAGAAGCAGGATGACTGCTGTAAGGAAGAATATCAGAGTGTCAGTGCTGGTTGCTGAGCCCGTCAATGTTCCACAGGTATGCACACATCCTTCACTGCACTGAAAGGCCTAGAGAATTAAAGAATTAAAGTTAACGGAGCTCCTGGAAGGCTGATGTGAGAAGTGAAGGCACAATAGGACACAAGTGGGAAAAAGTTCCAACTTTGTGGAGGAGTGAAGCCAAACTAAAGGAATCCAGGTAAAGTTGAAAATTCAAGCACAGATTCAATAAAATTTTAGATTTGAGCTTCCAGTTTTGTCAACATCGCAGCGTCTTGGCTTTATTTCTCCAGTGGCAAAAAATCTCTTCTAGGTTTTCATGGGTGAACAAGGTAAAGGGAAACAGATGACAGACATTTTTTTGTTTTTATTCTATGTATGTAGAATGAGTACAATCACTGTTGTCTGGGAAACAAGCAAAGAAAGATATGTCTATTTCAACGAGTTGCCTGTATGACCACAACACACAATATTGATATATATATGTAAATACATGTACTGATTTATGCTTACCAAGGCATGAGCCGGCCAATTTTTGTCCATCTACTTTTGCTAATAAAAAAGCCAGCAACAGGATCAGTAACTGCACCTGAGGCTTTGCCAATAAACAGCACCAGAGAGGCATGAAACGGAGTAATCTGAAAGTACAGACAGAATTACTGTAAACAAGAGCCATTGTTTCACAATACAATGAAACAGCATAAAGCAACTTTCCAGAAAAAAAAACTTAGTGTTTTAAAGAATAATGACAGTTCATTTACAAAACATGTTTGTTGCTGTCATAGAAATTACTATTGGTTACCCATAGCAAATAAAATGAGACATTGGGACAGGCACTGTGCAAGAAGGGATTGGAGGGGAAAAGTGCAAGGAAGGAGAGATTATGGATATGTTTAGAACTAGGAACATGAGTCAGATAGTCAAATAGTAGGCTAAACTCCTTGTTTTAGTCATAAAAACTGATAGAGTTCCTCTGTAATTATCCCCTCCCTTTGTTCCTCACACAGCCCCATTCCCCCGTATCTTTATCTTGACCTGATGTAGAAAAAAGCAAAAAAAAAAAAGCAGTTTACATGCATTCCTGTTTTTTCATCTCCTGAGATTACCAGCAAGGCTGCCAACTGGTGGCACGTGTCTGTGGAAGAGGTTGTAGCACAGGAGATTTTATCCACTCAGAACTGAACTATGACAACTGAACCGTGTAAGGCACATCTGTTCAAATCAAATTTGCCTGTGCATATCCAACAAATCTCACTTGAAAAATGTTCATGGATTACACAAGAATAAAATGGCCAAGTAGAAAAACCTCTGAAGTTAACCCAGGAAGACCATACTTAGGTGTCGATACAGAAACACAGTTTATCCTGGGCAATGTAGTTATTTTTCACATACATCTGTAGAGAGCTTGGGAATTCGTATCACACAATGGTTAAAAAAAGTGGGTTCTCTGAATGGGTTCAATAAGCATTGGGCTGTGTCTCACAGCAGTCTGCTGATGGTCACCTCATCCACCCTTGTTGACTTGTGCCAACAAGTAGCCCACCAACCCTGCAGCCCATGGGGGCTGCACTGTACCTGCTCAGGAGTTACTGCTACTTCTCAAGAGACAAGTCAGCTAAAACAAGAACAAAATAGCAGTCAGAAAGATACAGGAGTGGAAATACTGAAGTTATGAGGGATGCAGGGACCTTCAAATTAGGCGGGTTTCGCGTTGGTATTTTGTTCAGATAACTTGAATAGACAAAAAAGGAATTGGATATTAGGTAAGCAGAGGCTGAAGAAGTCCTTGAGGAAAATTAAAACCTCTTATGTTAGAAGTGGACTGTATGTAGTCGCTCTGTCTTCATCATCAGTATGAGCTCATACATCCCTTGGCTGCACCTTCTTAGCCGCCTGAATCTAGGCAGTGTCTGTCAGCACCAAAGCCAGAAACTTCTCAGTGTTAATAAAATACAAGATAAAATATGCTAGATTCACCCATCTCAAAAGGAATAAAGAACAGGATCCTATTATCAGGGGTCTTGGTGTTTTCTGTTAATTTGACTCAAGGAGACTGTGTGGTTTGGAGTTACATTTATATGTCTGTAGTTTATACTTTAGTGTGCAGTTTAGGTGGAACATGGTATTCAAATGGAAGCTACAGAAAGTGAATATAAAAGTAATTTTCTTAGAAAGGATACAGATTATGTATGAAAGATCATACCTAGCAAGTTTCACAATCTCTCAAAGAGCTAAAACAGTTCTGCCCTCTAAGTGGGCAAGAATTAAATCCAGATAGTGACTGTAAAATTACATGCTCTCCCCTGAAAAGGTGTGGAAAACCCCACATGATTTCAGAGCTGTTTATCAGGGCTTGAAATAAATCCTGTCCCTGCAGTATCACTTCAGAGAACAAACTAAACCATCAAGGAACAAATAATTAAGCCCCTTAATGAAGTAGCAAGTGTATCATTACAAACATTTAGCAAAATTATTGGGTTTCAGTAGGAGTTTGTTAACAAAATAATTATTATTCTGTCATTTATTTAGGTAGTGCCCACAGATGCAAGAACGGCACCCCAGCCTTCTGGACACTCCACACGGACACATAAAGAAATAAACACTCCCTAGCTTCAAGAATTTTCAATTTCTGTGATAAGCAGAGAGTGGGAAAATTGCCATATTTATAAGCACCCTGGGAAAATTGTATTAGTGTCTTTCTCATTCAGTTCATTCTTCATCATCTCCAATGGCTTGAATTGCCAGCCTTGATGTAAGCGTGAAACAGCTGCAGTCAGAGCTGCATCCACCTCCCTGCTGCATCTCCACTTGACCTGTTCCACCTCCAGCTCCTCAGACTCCACACCATCACTCAACATTTTTGACATTGCCGTCCAAAACTGGCTCCTTTTCTAGATCTAGAGACTTTGATATGAAGAAGACACTCAAGATTTCAGTTTTACATTCTAGTCTTGTATTGCCAATTTTATCAAGTCACACCTCAGCTTCTGATATCAGGCTTCTATAGGAAAACCATAAACCAAATCTCTTGGACACTTCCACTCCCCAAGTCATGATATCCTGCTTTTCTGCATCTTAAACAGTAAACGGATAACAATATCTGATCCAGAACCTCCTGGTCTTTCTAGCAAACAAAAGCAGTCATCAGTGCTGAAAGCCTTAGTTTCAGCTACAGATGTTCTCACAGTCAATGCAATTTGGCCTCATTTCCCTAAAATCCTTTTTTCTATCCTTCATCTGTCCCACCTCGTTACCATGCAGACATACAAGACAAGCCAAAACAGTAAAAAATGCTTATGGATTGATTTTTTTTCATTTGTTTCTCTGCTGTCCTGAAATCAGCTGAAAGTCAGATGAATGGGATGACTCCTACTGCTTTGTTTTACCAGCTCTGCATCTGCACCAGAACATCACAGACTTTCAAAGAACCTTCAGGAAGGACCACTCAGCTTTATTTGCAATTAAATTTTCCCAGACAAACCAAATCATATTTAAATGAAATTAGGTTGACTACTGGATGCAACTGCGATGATTTTTAACTAAACCTAATGAACAAAGCTTCACAACCTCAACATGGTGCTATTAATTTTTCAGACATCTCATATCTTACACTTTCTGACTCTTGACAAAGAGAACTGCTTTTTCTTGTGCCTACAGGTATGTGAGCTCTACAGTGACCAAAGCTCTACTAATGATCCCAAACTAAAAGTAAACAATGGCCACTTCAAGATAGAAAGGAAATTAGGGAAAAAAGAAAAAACCCAATTATTTCTGAACAAGTTTATGGAGTTTTCAGGATGCCGAACAGCTAGAGACAATGATAACAAGACAATTTAAAAGCTTTATTAGCTAATTAATCTTTTATCACCCCCAGGGACATTGTTGACAACATCAGAGTTGAGGTAAGACTGCAATCTGCAAAGGTTTCTAGTGCTACTTACGTGGGCTATATCCAGCAGGTAGATCTGTAGGAAGAAAGCAGCAGCACTTCCTGCCACTTGATTTGGGGCACCTCCTATTGCATAGCATAATTTGCCACAAATCGAGAGCCTGTGTTCCTGTTCAGGACGAAGCAGAACAAATGATGAGAAAAATCAAGACACACAAGTTAAAAGCTACAGAAGTCATAAGGTTAAAGTCTAAGGTTAACGCCAGATTCAGGTATTTGCTTCACAGGTATCCCACTAATAAATCCATATGCCCTCAACCCCTATCATCAACAGGCATTTGGATGCTCATTGGTTTGATTTTTAATGGTTTTGTTCCTTAATTCAGCCCCTAAAAACAGATTACAGTGTTCCTTCCAGGGAATCTAGGCTTACCTATCTGCTCGCAAGCTATTAAAAAGGAACAAGTCTACAAATAAGCAAGAAGAAGCAAAGAGGTGCAAATATTGTTAGGCTATTTTCTGAGCTTAGATTTGTCTTTAAATGTTTCATTCAGATTTTCTAAGGTTGAAAACTCTTTCACTTAAAAAAATATTATTTACTACATTAATCTTTAAGACCATAATAATTGATATATACTATCATACCATAGTAATTAGACAACATTAATGCAAGAAAAGTTCCAGTCAAATGCAGACTGAACAGATTCCAAACATTTGTGCTCTGTTCCTTCCTTATTTTGTCCCAAAATGCTGGTGTGAGCCTGGCAAAGTCACATGAGTTTGCACATCTTCCTTTTGACTTCACTTCTCTGTATCTTTTATGAAAGATGGCATAATAGGAAAAGTGATTTTGGGGCCTGAGTCCTTGTTAGGAAGGACTCTAAGTCACTCTAAGTGTGTTTAAAAATTTTTGCAAAACTGTGCTCTCTTGTTTCCCTTTTGATGTTTGAAAAGTATGGGAGGCATCCAAGAATATTCCCTAATACAATTGCCAAATAAGACTAAGATAAAGGCTGAAAATAAGGCTTCATAGCAGTAATTAAAAGATAAAAAACGCACAGTCTAATAGAAATTCTAATGAAGAACACTGTGTTCTCCAACAGTAAAATTTCCAGAATACTGGAAAGCCTTTAAAAAAAACCCCTAAGACTTAATTTCATGCCATAAAATTTAAAATACAAGAAGAAAATAACTCTCCATTAATCTTGTATTCCTTTCAAAGGGTCACCATATCCAAAACAACTTTAGACTTCTAAGCTTTCAATCCCTCTTTAAAGATTGTTGTCAGCAGGAACCAGGAAACACAACGAGGAGCAGCAATATTAATCCTGGTTCTGCTCTCTCTCTGGACTGACTACACAAGCCCTTAATTCTTACATTAGATCAGGGTAAAAATAGAGATATGGTAATGAGATCCACCACAATGATAATATTCTGATACATTACCTAATTTCTGCATATTTTTAATTGTACCATCATCTTTACTACCTAGCATTTGATAAGTTTGAGACTTCTAGACAGAGCCTTTCATCACCTAAGCATTTTCCTTTGAACTGTTTTATCTGAGTGGGTGTGAACAAGCAAGCACAAGTATTGGGACTCTGTCCTTTTTGTGTTTTCACGAAGAAAGTCGGGGTGGCATACTGTTACTACAACCTGAGTAAAATGGACAGTGTCAGGGCATGAGCTGCAAAATGGTATCATCACAGCAGGCCTCTCTTGTGCTCTGTATTGGCAATTTTGCTCTTTCCAGGAAAAAATGTGGTAAACAGTCACAAGACAGACTTAATCAGAACAATATACCATTTAATTTGGTAAGAGATTCAAAACACAACAATCAAAACACACAATACATATCTGCTGCACAAAGAAACTCACCATTTTTCATACATAAGTCCTATTAAATGCGAGCTTTACGAGACTTATGGGGCCTATAGAATCTAGTTTGCTCGACTCGCAACACAGACCTCTTGTGCTTTGCTCCAGGGGCTGTGTGCTTTTAAACTGTTTTATTTTTAAATCATTCCCTTCTCTTAGCCTCACCTCCATCCTCCCAGAAATTGAATTACTTTAAAAGTTTACTTTCCTTTGGTAATTTCCCTTCTGATCTCCAAGCACTGGCAAGATGACTTCCAGCTGAATTCAAGAGACGTAAACTGCTACATAATCCCATATCCCATTCCACCCCCAAAACAAGCTGAGAAAAACCTTTTAGATCCATAAGGCTGCTTTCCCACTTGTTTTCCCTAGTAGCTGTTGTAGAATCACAGAATGGTTTGGGTTGGAAGGGGCCTTTACAGTTCATCTAGTCCAAACCCCTGCCATGGGCAGCGACACCTCCCACCAGACCAGGTTGCTCAACGCCCCATCCAGCCTGGCCTTGAACCTTGAACACCTCCAGGGATGGGGCATCCTCAGCTTCTCTAGGCAACCTGTTCCAGTGTCTCACCACCTTCACTGCAAAAACGTCTTCCTTATGTTCCTCTTTCAGTTTAAAAACATTGCCCCTTGTCCTTTGAATAGCTAAGGCCATGCTAACACAGAAAAAGTAAATGCCTCTATGTAATATACATGATTCCCAAATATTTTTATAACAACAAAGAATGTTAAGTTGTTAAGAACTAGTCTAATTAAACTTGTGGTACAGGAAACAGTCAACCAAGATCTAAACTTACAGTCTGTAGGCAGCACTCCTATCTTTACATCGGTTTAGTGGTTTGAAAATTTACAATCTTAATACATATTTTGTAATAAGTCTCACTGTGATTCCACACACCCCAGGATGCTGCTTAACTACTTTCTGAACCACACTCCCAGATCACCTTGAAGCAAAGTTAATGCTTTAGTCACAGCAGTAGTTAAGTTTTCACTAAATTTTGTTTATGAGTGTTGTCTTCGGAATAAAACAAGCTGTTCAGACAGACATAGCATAGAGAGGTGTCCTCTTCAGTCAGCCACAGAAATGTCAGGAATCAGCAGTTCATGAACTTCCTGAAATGGACATTACTGTTCAAAACCTGTTTTCCTTGTATTTTGCCTACTTACTTTTGGAACTCATTCGTACCTTAAGCTATAGTACTCCACAGCAGCTCCACACATGAATAACACATACCACGAAAGGAAATGTCACTGTGTTGATTCTAGATCTGCTGCCTGGTAATTTCATGGAGTGCCCCTGAGTTTCTCTCTGCTGAAAAATAATCATTCAGACTCTACATTCTGGCGTCTCTTTACAAAAGAAGCAGCCCATAATCTATTTTGATTCTCCCTATTGAAGTTATATGGTAATCACCATGCTTTCTACCTCAGTATCCTACGAGACAGCAGTAAAAATGAAGGTAGGACCCTGCACCAGTAGAATGGAAAAATTTCCTTCTTTCTAACTTCATGGGCTTAGATTTAAGAGTAGAAAAGATAGAGGTGGCAGCTCTCCGGTACAGGATCTAGGGCAGTTAAGAGCCCCAGCCTTGGTGGGGTTTACACAATATTGCTAATAAATGACACCAGAAACTATCTTGAGAAGGATAACATGGCACTTGCACAGAGCAGTGGGACCAAAGTCAGTGCATTGGCTATGGGCAACTAACAAGGTTTTTCTCCTAAGGCTGAATTTCACCCCTGCATTGATTCCTCAAGCACACCAGTGAAAGCTTTTTCACCTGTGTAAATTTGTCAGTGAGCCTGAAGTACTCCAAAAATTCCCTAGAGATCAGAATGTGTAGGCAGTGGTCAAACAATGAATAAAATACAAAGAATTTTATGAAAATTTTGAGACCCCTGTGGTGTAGTTGAATGCCAGCATCAAATTGCTTCTACAGTGTTTAGAAGAAAGTTGAGATGATGGGGTGGGAGGTAAGAGAAAGAAAGGTCAAAAGAAGTTATGTTAATTGTGTTTTGAGGTAAACTAAGAAAACAATAGCTGAGAGATTTTATTTATTATTTAGAAGAGTAAGTTTAAACACCGTTACAGAAAATTAATGCATCTCATACACTGTAGTTCCTTTATTAATTCTCCTGTAAGTTAAACTAAAACTGTACTTTTCATTGCTTGTAAGTTTTCCATTCCCCAACAGAACAGAAATTGAATCCAGCATTTACAACAGATCATCTTATTTCTAAAGAAAATACTTAAGCACATTGAAAACAACTCTTTGGAACTGTGTGAAGATACTGCATGAACATTATGGGCACAAGGAGCAGCCACATTTTGTCCTAAGCTCCTCTTTATCAGTCGAGTCCAGAACCGAACCAACAAGTCATTTAAAAGCAGTAAGAAGGGAGAGCAAAACCTGTGACTCAAAGATAACGGCTAGCCTAGGTTTATCTGAGAAACAATGAAAATGTAGCTAACGAGGAACAGCTTTTGAGTCAGCTTTTCTCTCAACATAGAATTAATGCTGGTTAATGTTTCTGTTGTTTCTGCTCTGTGAGTGACTGTACAACTGCCCCATGAGTGTGACAGTCCCAGGTGGGATCCCAAGTCCCACACACCAAGTACTTTGAGAACTGTTTTCAGGTTTCTTAATGACATCAGCCCACCCCTGAGTGTAAGAAGTGAGAGGAGCAGGGCTTGGGTACAGACACCTAAAAGGGCACATGAACAAGGCAGGATGCAGTGGTGCTTCCCAAGACATCCTTCCAGCTGCTGGCAATGTAGAGCCAAGGGGCTCTGTGAGCCAAAGGTGGTGTATCTCTGCTTCAGATTTCTTCCTTGAATTCACCCAGATAGTTTCCAAACACAAAAATTCAAACCAGAACAGCATGTGGCCACAGCATCTGATGAGTTCCCCGGCTCGAACGCCCTCCACCACATGAGGAAAGGCAACCCCAGCCCCTCCGTTTTGAAGCTGCCCCTTCCCCGTTTTACCAGATGCCCCCTCAAGAGCCATGGAGGTGAGGGGGGGTCCTCACTCACCCCTTTACCTGCCTCTCCACCCCTATCTCGGCAAGCACCGGGTCCGAAGAGGAAGCATTTCGATACTTTCTCACAGGCAACACCTCACCTGGCAGTGAGTGAGGAGTCGATGAGGCTTCCTGAGGAGAGTGACCCCCCTCCCGCCCCTCTCCTCCACTGACACCCCCTCGGCCTTGGTGGGAGACAGCCCCGGAGGGAGATAGTGCGCTCCAGAGACAATATCAGAGTTACACGGAGCTTCTCGGCGGGGGAAAACGGGGATGGCGGTAAGGATTTAAGAGCATCACAGAAGACACGGCAGCAGCAAGTTCAGGCTGCCCCAACCCCCCCGAGAGTGCTCACCCCCTTCCCCGTAACCCACCGGCAATGTGGATTAAGACCCAGGGGGCTGGAGCAAGAGGGGGCGGGCGGGACCCCAGCCCTGCTCTCACCCCGGGACTGCGCCCGAGGGGCTCCTCAAGCCGCCTTTCCCCCTCCCCAGCCCCTTACCTCCTCCTGCGGGCGCTGCGGGGTGTCCTTGGCAGCCCCCGCCATGGCAGAGCCAGGGGACAGCCCACCCCGGTCCAACACCTGCGAGCCCGGGGCGGGGCGGCCGAGGGACTGAGAGGGAAAGCGGGTGGCGACCTCCCCACCCCGCGCCCTGGAGGGGCAGAGGCGCTATCGCTGCCCTCCAGGCTCGGGAGAGGGTATTCCCCGCCGGAGGAGCCCTCTCCCCGCCCCGGGGAGCCGGGTCCCCCGCGGGCGGCGGGAACACCCCCCTCACCCTTCGCCCCTCCATGCTGCTTCCACCGTGAAGAGGAGTGGGGCAGCTCCCGCAGCCTGTCCTGTGAGGAAAAGGAGCCGTCCGTGAGGTGAAATCCCGGTTTTATTGCTCTGGAAGCCTGCTAATAAGCATCCCGAGTGCCCAGGGAACGGCCGCCATAGCGCCCGCCCCGCCCGTCCCCTCACAGCGACCCGCCTCACCCCGCACGGAGGGCTCCCCTGAGGTGAAGGTTTCTGGGGCTGTCTTCATCCAAAGTCTAAAAATACCAGCTCTATGCTTTTGAAGAGACACGCTGTTGTCTGAATTGCTTGTACGAATTTGTATCCACGCCAGTCACCTGGATGCGAGATGACACAAAACCCGTGCCTGGCCCAGTCAGCTCGCTGTGGGAAGAGCCGCCCCCGCGCTCAAAAGGCCCTGGAGCCAACACCGGTACTTGTACAAGTTCACCACCACCACCCTGCCCACAGGAAAATGGTCCTACAAGCACGCTCTGCCTCAGAGAAAAAAAATAAAAATAAAAATTTTGAAGTATGACTTCTTTCAACTGTGAGACATACTGAGAGAAGAGGGCTTAAACCAACGACAACTCAGCGATGTGCTCATCTTGGGAAGATGATGACTTACCTACACACAAGATTCAAATGATCAGTTTGAATCGACTGACTCAAAGAGCTCTGCTATTGACAGGGTGACTTGGTGGGTCCTGGGCAGCCACTGAAAACAACGCCATTGAGTACCAATATGCAAATCCTGCACAAACTCATCTGACAAGAATAATTACAGCAAATTTGCAAAATTCTGAAAGGACATGGCATTAAAACGTTTTCTTAAAAACAGACCTTCAACGCAAAACTGGAATTGTGGCCTTATTAAGACCTTGTCGAAAACTCTCTGAAGGTTTTAGGCTCCAAGGGATCTTGGAGGCTGAGCCCAGCTGAGCTTCAAAACAGAGGTGGACTGCTCAGTGACTTAACCCCAGTATGTAATTTATTCTGAAGTACTAGGTACTAGATACAAGGTAGGCATGTAACACTTAAATTCAACATTCAGTTTCTTCATTTTTTCTTCATAGGACGTCCTTGTAACAAGTTAAATCTTTGTTACCTGCATCTCTTCACCAAGGAAAAAACCAACAGAAAACATTTCCTTTCTTTGATCTTTTCTAGGCTATTTCAATTTTGCTGTAAATTATGTTAATTCACAGGCTTTACTCAAAACAGTGAAGAAACAATGAATAACTGATAGTATCTGTGTCTTTCACAAACTCAGGCATTGATCAAGCAAGTTTTACTGTTGTTTGACCAATGCACAATAGCTGTCTACAGCGCTGAGTAAGAGATTAGGCTGTCCAAACACTACAGGTAGCTAATCAGTCTTTACAAATTGGCCGAAACCAATTAGATTTAGAAGAGCCCTGTATTCATTCTAAAGGTGTTCTCCAAATCAGAAACTAAGTTATCCAATCAGTTTGTTGCCTCTCTTTTAAAGGCACCTTCTAGTCTAACATGGGATTAGTGTAGTCAGCATCACTCTTAAGTTTTTAAAGATTTGCTCTCATTTTGTAATGAAGACCATGACACTTCCAAACACCAAATACACACTCAAGCACCACCAAAGTTCTAGCCAGAAACAGCTGATTTCTGTAAAACACAATATATAGCTGGACAGAATCAAGCTATAGTGTCTTAAAATACTGATAGCAGACATGAGTCAACATTGAAACACTAAACGCTTCCTGCTTCTTTCCAAAAAACTTACTGTGATAACAAGCAAAATGGATTTACCTACCTTAAAATTTCATACCCCCCCTTCAATTTTAATCAATCTTACACTAATTATTTATTTGAATTTCTATGTAGGCATAGCATATACTGTGACATTTCATGCACCTTTTAGATAAGAACACTTGAGCTTACAATCAAAAATGTATGGTTTTCTAATACTCAGTTTGACATTAAGACAGATTAAAAAGCACCGATTAATAAAATTCACTGTTCAGGAAGCTCTGCAAACTGAGGGTTGGATCTGTGTCTGTAGGTGACTTGTCTCTTCAAATTTTATTATTGGATTTGTCTGCACATTTCTTCCTACCACTAGAGCTCTAGTAGGCTTTTCATATAGCAGAGGAGTCAATGCAAGAGCAAAGAAAATTTAATGGCATTATTTGCAACATAAACCTGAATGACACAGTAGCACATCAAGTTTATAGCACTGAAAACAGTTAACTGCATAGTTTGCAGAGATCTGCTTTCTGAGTACATTGAATAGGTATCTGAGCAGTTGACTTTCATTTCACAGCCCCTGAACAGACCAGGAGAGATGCTGAAGCAAAACAGTTTTACATCCCTGGGAATGAAGTAAGCGCATCCCTAGTCTGAAGCAACACAACTTTTAGACAGAATTCAAGTCACTCCAATTAAGTCATTTTCTATTTAGAACAAAAGCAGGAAATCCCAAACCCATCTGTCATTTATCCACACAAAAGTAGTACAAACCCCAAGCCCCTCCGTTTGCGCAGGCAGCACAAACTAGTCAGCACTCATTGAAGGCCCCAGGATTAAGTCTTACCTAGAGACCCTAGTTCTGTTCACTAACCCACATGCTACTCGGCAAACACAGTACAAAATACTTAGTCTTTAGGTTCATTTCTCCTTTAGCAAAAGAGGGAATCATTGGCTACAAATTGTATGCCTCAAGTACATGAATAGCAAAATAAAAGATTCAGATGGAAACGAGGCAGAGAGGGGGAAGAAACCTCAGTTTCCAAATAAGAATTTTCAACATCTTTGAAACCTGGCCACATGCAATTAGTGTCTCAATCAGCTGGCCAGCTCAGGACAGAGGCAGATATACAGTACGAAAACAACTGTGTCCCTCTAAGCCACTATTCCTGTATGGTCATCTCCAGAAAAGCTGAAGTTTTTGTGTGACAAGGCTGAAAGTGGATTTCTATCCTAATGAGCTAGGTAGTTTAACATCACCCAATCTTCAAGACACCCATAGCAGCACAAGAGGGGCAGAAACCACTTCAATCATTGGTAATAACAATTCCTTCAGAGCTTATTTTGAGGCACTTCATATGCAGTATGCACCAGACTACCTCATTTCTATCTTCTCACACATGCATCTACCACCACGTGAAGACCTGATAGAACATTACACTGCAGATCTTATGATAAGTTAAATCCTGAAGATACTGATATTGAAGATTTTCAAGTTAGTTAAGAGTTCAAAAGTGAACTTCCCTGCAGAATCTCTTGCCTATAAGTTACTGTGAGAAGAATGCAAACTGCAGCAGCTTACACCGAAATAAGTGAAAACAAACAGTTCAGTTTCACTTTAGTCCAAAGTGCAAAAATAAATACTGTTTTTCCTTAAAAGGTGCTATCAGTAGTAATTAAGTCTCAGAGAACTGTTCTGCCTAAATACACTCATTAAAGAACTAATAGGCTTTCTACCTAAGGGAATTCTAAGGATGACCTGTAGTACAGTTACCTCTGCTATGGTGTATAGCCAGGCTCTGACCACCAAATGTAGTCGAAAATACTTCTATTATAGCAGATGACAGCACAGCACACATTTTGCTCTCTGAGAGCACAGTACGTGAGGATGAGAGTGCATCCAGATATTGCTGGTTACATTTTTGGTTTTCTCTAGTTCCACCTGCATGTAGTTTTTGGCAAGTTAAAAGCTAATTTGATCTTGTACTTTTGATAGCGTTTTTTTGCTCGCTCTTGAGCTGTCCATTAGGTGTAGTAGCAGTTTTATAGTCGTTGTCAGGTGATTTTATCATTAAGAGCCTGAAAGGTTCAGTTGTTTTCCGAAGTCTTTGAACAACAACAGCGTTTTGCAACTTGGCTTCCTCTAGTGTGAGCGTCTCGTCTCGCAGCTCTCGAAACGGCAGCGAAGTAGTCAGTGTGAAGGGAGCACTTCCCTCTGATCCTTGATACTTTGTGATGAAATCTCTGACATGGCTTATTCTGAGAAGCAAAAAAAAAGAAAACTCAGCATTAGAGCACTCCAATCCCAACACATATCCCAATCCCACAACCCAGCCACCACGAGGAGAGAATCAGACACTCACTCCGTGGAACAGCTGATGGCATAGAACTAGAGGAATCTAGACGAGGTGGTATCCTGAAGTGTCTGATCCTTTGGGATCCTGAGGGAAGACCAGGGTTTGCATGCTCTGAGAGCAATCCCAAGGGAATAATTACGAGTATTTTACTCAGAGCACTCAAATGCTTCACTATGGCTCAGATGGTAGTTCCACAAGCCCATCATTTCTTAACCAGCTGGTGGAGCTCTTACCTGAGGTTTCTGTAGCCAAGAGCTAGCATAAGGGTGCCTCCAGTGAGAGGTACATGTAACAGAACCACAATAACAGTAAAGAAAAAGGGTCTGCAGAAATTGTCTAGATAGCTTATGAGTTTACTAGGTCTAAATACAGTCTCCTTCTGCCAAAGCAGGTGCAGCAGGGAACTCATTACAGATTCAAGCTGCTTGTTAAGGTGTGAAGAACCTTGCAACAAGTGAGCAAGACAGAGGTTTTGCTGTGGAAGAATATGGATTGACCAATTTAATTAGAAAACGAAAATGACGGGATACGTCTATACCAGTAAAACAAAGACAGTGTCAATGCCCATTCTCTGATGCAGAGGCCAACTGGTAGACTCTGGCTACTAGCAAATTATTAAACTCATCCTTCCTCTCCCCCACGCATAGGGTAGCAGGGGGTTTACTGTATTCTGGGAACGGTCTGTGACCTGAGCTAACATCTGAACCAAGCCTAGATATTGTTTGACAAAGTGCTGGCTGGCTTGGGGGAAAACCATCCTAACAGTTTAGATGCACAGAAGACCAACTTTTCATGCCTTGGCCATACTTCCTAGGACAGATAGAGCCAACATCTAATTCCTGTGCACACAGGCCTCAATTAAAAGCAAGTACTTGGCCCCTGAAAGGATTTCTTCCTATTTCTTATTCGGGCATACATAAATGCTGTATACAGCACAAACATGGTGGTCTTGTGGCAAAAGGATACGTTATGATGGAATATTTATTACAAGCTACTTCAAAAAGAGCATCGCATCAGTAATGCTGTTGTTCCGTTTATCTCACCTTTTTTTTTCCCCTCTCCAAAAGCACTTAGCAGTTGTTCAAACTGCTACTTGCCATGAAGACAAAAAGCTTCTAAATATACTTAAATGTGTGAAACCTGGAATAATTAAGATATTAAGCCCTCCAATGAAGTATTTATAATTAAAATAGCAATTGACACTTCAGCAGCACATCACAACAGTGTTTCAGTTCATACCTCAGGCGCTAACAGTAATAAATTAGTACAAGTTGAAGAAAAAGTTGCAGTGATTAACCTTCAACTGCTGAGCTTTTCTTCTGACCAGCCACAACAACATACACAGTTTACTCTGACTGCAGCCTGAGTTGCATTAAATCTAGAGATCACTTTAAATTGCTTCACAGAGAAGCACAGGAAACATTCCCTCTCCGTATGTGACTGTGTAGTACTGGAGTAATTTCTCAGATTACAAATTTGAGAAAAAGGTCTTTAAAGACAGTAGTTCTACAATTTAATGCTAAACAGTTTATCCTACTTTCTCAAAGCTCCTGCATACACATGCTGTGCTGACACCTTCTGACGTATCCCCACTTATAAGCCTCTTTGAGAGCCACTGGATGCATTTGGTTCTGTTCACGTTGACGTGCAGGTGACAACTCCCCCCCAGCCTGGTGCACTGACTCCGATCCTCCCTAGAGGTTTCTCTGGCTCAACTTTTAAGTCACATCCTCCATCTCCCACCTGGGGTGCTATGCCCAATGACTATCAGCCTTTTTACTACTCAATTTGCTCCAGATGTACTCATTTTGTGAGAGATCTGTCATTTTAAAAGTTGTGTCCTCCAATAACGAGCAATACATACACTTTAACTTCCACTAACCTACGAAGAACTCCTACTACAGTTTCCTCAGATTTTCATTGATGCTCAATTACGTGCTGATTATTAACATCAGTTCACATTCCTCTTACGTTGCTCTCTCGTCAGCTAAAAAAAAAAGATTTCTCAAAGTCTGAAGAGAGGTTTTCTAGACACAGCTGAACAGCCAATGTTAACTGATCTGAGGAGGTAGATTATTCACAGAAATTAGAGACTCATCATGCATACAGGCATAATACACACAGTTCAGATGCAAATACACATTGACAGTGTTAAAATAAATCTTACCTGTGAGAAACATTGAATTTCTGAATAATCCTTTCCCCATCAGCTAACCAGATCTGGATGTTAGTGACAGGCTCCAACTCATTTAATGGTACTAAAGGCAGGTGTCTTTTGTTGTCAGGTCCCTGGTGATCATCTCTTACTTTAGATATTACCCTTGGAGTAGCACTGAAAAGAAAAGCCATACAGGTTTATGCCTTCTGTGAACACATGTAAGCTTGAACCTCTCTCCAGACCTCTGCTTCTGGAGCTTTCTGCCATGTATCAGGGTGCAATGACGACTTCTTTTTTCAACAAATATAGGAATACTGACATAAATGTCAGCTTTTTTTTTTTTTTAACTGTATGCCAATTCTTTACCTTGAAGACTTCAACATGTTAAAGAATTCCAGTTTACTCATTTTAAACATTTTTACAACATGGAAGGGAACTTACATATCAAAGGGTTAAATATTAATACACAAGAGATGAAACAGTCTGAAGATTTTGTGCATTTTTTTGTACCAATCACACAGGTGAGACTTTAAAGGGTTTGAGTATTGAATTTGCATACTCAATGTTAATTTTCACTGTAATGTGATTACAGTAATTCAATTTAACTGAGTGTTGTTAGCCTTGATTCAGACCCCAGCATCATCTATATCAGCTTAGAAGCATTACTCATCTATCACAGAAAACCACTTCATGTGAAAATCCAGGCTGATGCAGCCAGCACTTGGATTTTGGTAATTTTTTTCTAAGACACTTTCAACAGCTGACCCTACCGCAAGGGCAAAGATCCATAAAATGAGTTGACAGAATACAGGGACCTCAGTCCAAGCATGCGCTCTTTAAAAAAAAAAAATTACTGGCAAAAATTTTTATTCTGAAGAAATGTCTAGAGCTTAGTGCTTCTTTTGGGACGAAGCTTGCTCGATGTGTACTGTTTAAGTCATCATAAGGCCCAATCCAATGGGCACATCCTCAGCCCATGTGAGTATAACCAGATGTTTGCTTGCAAAACAATACCAGTGATTTAAGGAGTTACCATTTCTTCTCTGATCTCAGCTGGGGTCACTGACTACATGAACACTTCACGGTGGTTTGCAGAAAGGCTTTCTCTTTGCACAGAAAATGGATGAATTACTGTTTCTTGAGAGAGAAGTCGGTAACCAATGGCCACAGAATAAGTCTTAACAATACTACATCTGCTTCACGGACAAATCCCATCCTTGCATCCTTATGTTCTTGCACCTGTCTTAGTTTAATGATAAAACAGAAAAGTCACAGCCAATTTATTATTAAAACAAAGATGGCTAATGACTTAATATTTTCAGACTAATAAAGTTAGAGACTTGGGCTTGAGTCCTTCTCAGTCTGAGGTATTTCAAAAACTTGTATCACCCACTGCCTAGTTAAGAGCCCTAACTTCTAGGCTACCAACCAGTAGAGGCACATTTTATTTCTTCCACTGAAACTCTACAAAAAGGATGAGAATCAAAATATCTCTTGTCACTCACTTGCAAATGAGATTCTCGCTGCAACTGGAGGCAGATGAGAGGCACAGAATTGCCTGGTTTGCATTACACAGGAATCAGCTGGGGCACAAGAATTTGGCACCAACACATTCCACGAGGCACATCTGTAAAGTATTCTGGTACTCTGAGTACAGGTGACTTACTATCACTCACCTGCCTCTACCGATTTACTTATCTCACACCCAGCTTCTGTTCATGCTTGACCTCAGTACAAAATAAACCCTCATTGCCCTCAGATCTGGAAAAAAAGCTCGAGCACCAACAAGATGATGTTAAACAGTCTCAGGAGCAGAGCTAAAAAAAAAAAGTTCAAGTCATACTTCAGTCCAGCAATGACCAGCTTTCGCATGATTGTCGCTTGATTAGTGACATTTGGTTCCAGGTTGAGACAGTGAGGGATAAGCACTGGTGTGAGCCAGCTGTCCCCAGTACAGCAGGGGCTGGAGAGGAAGCCAGCCCTGCAGCTGCCAGGCAACTGGGTTAGCCAGAGCTGAACTACATTTCAGCTCATCAGTCCCAGTTGTAGTTCAGACAACCGTCTCAGATGGACACAAATTTTGGTGGCATTCTCAAACCCACTTCCCTCCTCGTCACATCTCAGAATTTCTGGTAGGCACTGCAGATGACTCTTTCAATAGCAAGTACATGTGAAGCTGAAGCCAACACGTTAAGCTAAGCTGCAAGAGGAAGTTAAAAGATTTATATTCGCCAAGGTTTAAAGCATTTCTGTACTTAATAACTTCACTCTTGCAGAACTGACAGATAAAGCCACCTAGTGGCGGGAGCTTTGACTAAAGCCACAAACCAGGACTCTAAGTCTCTTACTAGCCTGAGATCAAAGCATTATCACCCCTTTTAAAGGCTTACTCCTTTTATAAGATTATCAAAAGAAGATGTAAACTAAAGATCGAAGAAACCTAAGAGCCTCCTGTCAATTTTCTGAAAAGAAAAATCCCAAGAGTCAGGTACCATGCCTTATCCTGACTAATGGTTGAGAAGCTTGACGCACAATGTTTTACCCTAATGAGGTTATAGAGCAAGCCCACTTTGCTACAAGGGATTTCAGTCAATAGTTTAATTAACATGCTTCTGAGGCACTCTTTAAAATGCATTGATAAGCTTAATAGAAAAGTGTGGTTGCAAATCTTTTTATAGTCCCAAACTATTAAATGTAGCTGAATGGTGGTAGAGAAAGCAGAATACACCCATAAAGGTTCATAAGGTATATTGGAGAAGTCTGATAATCTAATTTGTTTCTCCTGTACAACAAAAAGGGAAAGGATCAAGCTCATCTGAGTTATAGCAACAAACATAATTTCTAGTTCCTCAATTTTTCCTCCAACTAAAGTTTTAACAAGCCAGACAACAGACCAATTCATAATGGTTCGTCCACCCCATAGTCCATCCATCAGGGAGAACTGGCAGAAAATCTATAGACTATTAAAAAATGTTTATTTGGTAAGCAGAAGTCTAGCGAGGTCACAAACTGAAGTAATCTGTTCAGTCATTTGCTTCTCGTTTCTGATTAAGCAAACGAATGCAACTGTGGAAAGGGAGTTCTATAGTTTAAAACTTGTCACAAGTTTCAGACAGCACTACTATTTCCCCACAGAGCTTTTTGGCTGAAAGAGTAGCATTTGCATGCAATGGACACGTATTAACATCAGGAAGTGAGCACTGCTCTGTGGGGTCAGAGCACTTATGGCTCATGTTTCCAACATCAGCAAAAATATTTCCTCGTCTTTCTTGAAAGGGCTCTGATAGCACAGCATTAGCAAGACTAGAAAAAAAATAAGCATTTTATCCAGTCCATAGAGAAAGAAAAAATGCTGAGCGAGTTGTAGGATGTCTCAGTGTACAAGACCAGTCAACTGAAGTTCACAGAATAGCACGTTTCCAGAACCTAACTCGCCTACTGGGAAGCAAGATCATTACTTGCTATAGGCATGACAGAGCACGACAAGCAACTGAACAACCTACCATTTAGCACTGGTTATAGCAGCAGAAACCCAGCACTCTGGAGATCTTTTTGCTTTTGCTATATACAGGTCTACTTGTAGATAAAATAAGGTTTAAGTTCTTGACCCTCGTTTGCTCACAATTTCAGTGCTACCAAAAGCAAGTCTTGCAGCATCTCATCCATCTCTCAGGGGAAGATTTTCCCTATTGACCGCATCTACTCAAGCATGTAGCAACTGAATGGACTGTGCTACAGAAACAGATAAAACTGATAAAACAGATACTTGTTTCTCTGAGGCAGCCTGGAACCACTCATCCTTTACAGTTATCAGTTTCTCACTCTGTACAGATCTTCTTCCCCTGCCTCATCCGTTCCTACCCAGGTCACGCTTTCCCTCAGCACAAGCTCTGGGCCTTAGCAGCAAGCCCTTTCCACTTAATCGAAACAAGCTGTTCACCTAAGGTTCCACCACGGCCTAGTAAGCCCAGTTGGCAGGTCATCAAGCAGTCCCACCTGTGAAGGCTTCCTGTAGGCCCCTGGTCACCAAATGTGTTCTGTTCCCTAGGCTGAATTCTGCTCTTAAACAACAGGGATATGCAAAGCAGATAATTAAGCTGGAGCAAGCAAAAGTCACAGGTATGAAATACATGAACTCCTGGCCTGCCCCTCCACAACAGCCTTCCAAAATACAGTACTGTTTGGTTATAAATCAAGTCCAGTTTTAGTGTGGTCATTAGTGGCTGACCTCAACCACAGGAGTCATGGAGAAAAGGGAAGAGGATCACTGTAACATGCTAAAATGTCTTACTGCGATGAATGCATGCATGGTTAAATGCTGAAGAAATTTAAGAGAATGCAAAATAACCTCTTACTTCTTCAGTTCTCTTTATGGGATTGTCATAGTCCCAATCTTCTTACACTTAAGAGAATGCAAAATAACCTCTTACTTCTCCAGTTCTCTTTATGGCTTTGTCATAGTCCCACCTTCTTACAAAATGTACTGCACATACACCTTTAGAAGAGATTCTTTTCTCTTGAATCACAGAACAGAAGAGTGACAGCCTTTCAGCTGGAAACAGTTCTGCTAATATTGAGACCTTGAACAAAGAAAGCCAACAGTATCCTGGCTGGATGAACAGGAACACCGCCAGGAGACTGTGGGAGCTGATTATCATCCATGCAGCGCTCATTAGACACACCTAAAGACTGCATTCGGATTTGGTACCCAAAATAAAAGAAAGATGTTGACAATCTGGAGCATATTCCATGGAGGGCTACCAAGATGGCCACACACTGGAACATTTGCTCTATGAGGAGAAGCTGGAGGGGCTTGTTAGCCAGTAGAAGAGATGGTGTCAGGGGAGATACTTCACAGCACCTGCCCGGGTCTACAGGGGGTCATCAGGAGGAAGGAGCCAGGCTCTTCATGGCGGACATAAATTGAAGCAACAGACATTCAGATTGGATATAAGGAAAAATTTATTTCCCATGAGGACAGTCTAGCACTGAAGCAGGCTGCGCAGCTTCCACTCCTGCAGGATTTCTAGGCCCAACTGGATAAAAGCCTGAGCAACCCCATCTGTCCCCACAGCTGAGCTTGCTTTGGGCAGGAGCCTGGATTAGAGAACTCCAGAGGTCACTTCCAACCTGAACTATAAGATCCTTTTCCATAGATACAGTTCCCTTCAGCTACCCAATTACAGATCACGTCAGACTACTCACCTTCCCAATCTGTAACCGTGTCCAGAAAAGGGATGAAACACTGGCTTTTTCGACAACAAATACACCTTATCTTTTTTATCTTCCACTTTAACATCTACCTCCTCCTTATCAAAAACTCTGCGCAGCTCAAAAGGCAGTTCCCTTAAGAAAAAAAAAAGTACATGTCAGAAAAAGAACTACTCTCCTGCTTTCAGTACACAAAACTGATTAATACCTGTTCTATGGTAACCTTTCAAGGATGAGGCTTTGAAAAAAAAAAGTCATGTTAAGTGCATGGGATACACAAAACTTCAAGTTCCTGAACTGCAAATAAACTAGAAAGTGAACAATAAATAAATAAAAAGACATAATTATGTAAGTTGTTGAATGATGCTCAAATTTACCCAACGGTTACCACCCCAAAGCACACGGTGTGCAGGAAGTTCAGCATCACCACACATTGCTGCAAAAGGTTCAGTTATTTTATCCCCATAGTAAAACAACAAAAAAAGACAATTGGTTTTAAAGAGAAAGAACTGAGTTTAGACACAACATGTTTAATTACAAGTAAACATGAATCTCAGCTTTTAAAAATGAGGTCATCACTAATAGCTGCACTCCTCAGTGCAGTAACATCACCTTGGTAATGCTTTATTTGCATTAAGCAGAACACAACAATGCTTTTGTCTACGAGCTCTGATGCAGATACTACATTTTTGGGTGGTGGGGCTCAGCTGGCGCAGGGGCTGGACTAAGTGCTTCTGCACTATAAATTATTATGCAGGAACCATCTTGTAATTAGCATCTTCACAAGCAAACAGTGGAAGAAAGGTGTCAAACTTTTGATGCGTGCACACAAAGAACGCAAAGGGCTCTAAACAGCGCAGTTAATTGCTGTTACAACTAACACAGGTGACAGCCATAGAGGAGAAATACAGTGTAAAATTAATTATTTTTGATGGCTAGCAAAGTATGGAAAATACAAAATATCCAATGGTTTAATGATTTTACATACTTGGAAAGAGTTATTAAATTATATTCTCCATAAAATTATACTCTCCTCTCCATTTGTACAGGATGAGGAAACTGACTACAAATTAAAGGCTCAAAAATATCTTGGTTTGTACAGTTAACCTGCTTTCTTAAAGCAACACCACAAACACTAGCAGAAATGAGGATAGCATGCTAATTTCTAACAGGGGGATAAAAGTAAGACTGCTATATACACACAAATGACTGGAATAGCAAGTTTGTACGGGAAAAAATGTCTGAAATTTAGGACTGATCAGAGTTTCTTGATGTTACATTGAGCAATTGTGCCCATTTCATCAACAAAAAGTAAACAAAGACCATAAAACCAGAAACTCTCAACCACCTGTGCATTGAGTTTATTAGTCAAAGCACCATTTGATCAGCAGCTCTTACTGGACATCCTGATTTACTCTTTATTTTGTTCTGCTCCTAACTGTATCCCCTACCAACACTCGCTGTTATCTATTTCATCAGCAACTCTATGACGACTGCAACTGAAAGCCATATTAAACCTGTTGATGTTAAAACAGCCATTAGCACTGCAGGAACTGAGACAGGCAGTGGCCTGCATTCCTACAGAGATACTGCAGTGCAGCAAAGCCAAGCAGCTATATAAAAATTTTTGAGCATAAACTAAGTGCTATCCAGAGCACATTAACTCAGGCTGATGAAGAACACAAAACTTACCCTTTTTTAACAGAGTCCAAGAACTGCTGGTTTGCAACATCAGTGTAGTTCCTAAGCTCACCATCATTTACTGTAAACCCATTTTTCCAAAGCTTAATGATTACATCAACCTATAAAGTAAAAACAATTCTCATTATAACACTGAGGTAAAACCAGCTTGGTATACGCACAGTACCCCGTGATTATAAATCATCTACTGTATGGACTAAAAATACTGAGAGAAGGCTCACTGTAATCTGTTTTGGCCCTGTGCCAACAGAGAGAGTAACTGCAAGGGGTAAGTGACATTTCTAAGTACCTTGTGTCAATCAGGGTTAGAAATAAACCTTCCTCCAATCATTTTGCTTTCCTAGATCAAGAACACTCCTTCAATTCAGCAGGGGGGGGAAAAAACCCAACCAAACAACACAAAAGAGCTGGAAGATCCCAGCCAGCTGCAACTCTTCAAGAGCTAATTTGAGAGCACACATGGCTGGTGTTGGAACACCAGCTACCAGAATAGCCCAGCTGGGAATTTATTAGGGTAAAGCCTTGTTCTGATCATCCTGGAGGATTTCCTGAAGTAAGGCATTGAGATAGTGCATGCAGAAGCCTTTCACTCAGGAAATGCAGCAAGGATGAGAAAATTTACTTTCAGACAGTCATACATTTATGTTACCCTGGAATTCCTGGGTATATTCAAAAGCTTGGCCTTATGGGAGTGAAAAAATAAACCCTCAGTAATTCATTAACTTTGCCAGAGAATATCTACTACTTCAACTTGTAGCCCTCACATTGCTTGCTGGATTCTCTCCAACTTTAACATGGGTATGTTCAGGATTGTATTTTCATACTTATGCATCATGCCATTTAAGGAAGCATTTGACCACCCAGGTCTGATCCCTGAAATAATGTTGTCTTGAGAGATACTTGACCACCTGTGCGGTATATGAAGCACAGAAAAATGCGGAATTCATCTCAGCTGGAAATAGGTTGAACTATGCTTGACAGTACTGAACAATTTTCTTTTTTTTTTTTTTTCTTTTTTGCACAGTTAGATGATTTCTACACAAACACAGAGCACATGCAAACTGCGGAATAAAATTCCTTCTCTTTTGGTTGGGTAATCTGTAAAAAAGGTATATAGCACTCAGCCAGATTAAATTTCTTTTAAAAGTCCTGTGTCTCATGGCACCAATGTATACGGAAGGAGTTCTCATCATGGGAAGGTGCCTCTCCAGGGCACCAGTATGCAAGTTCAACATGGACTAATTATTCCACACCAACGTCCCACTTAGACATTGTGCTGCCACAGAATGCTATTTAGGAACTGCAAATTAAGGTATTGCTTCTGACACTCCTTTTCTCCCAGGCTCAGCTGGGGATCCATGAGTGTAATTTCCAGCAATGCCCACTCCAAATTTTTCCTTGACAGCTTTGTTCCACATGGCCTTTTCTCCAGCCTCTTACCAGTCTCTAAAGAGTAAAAGAGAAATACAAAAAGGACATAATCAACGAGATACGTACCGAAACTAAGCATCCCAGAAGCACAGGCCTGGTTGACTAAGAGATGGGAAACTGTTCCTACTACTGTCTGAATTCTGTGTGCATTTATAGATGTACTGGATAAAACTGCTGAACTTCTTGCATTTGTTTTCCAGAGTACTCCTGGAATGCTATCACATTAAACACAAGTATTTTTTCTTCACCACCCACCTGATTCTTGACTGTAGTTGGGGGCATACATATAGCACCAACCTTCTGAGCTTCTTCAAAAAGGTTATCTACCAAGTAGTCACAGTTTTGTTCTGTACCATTCAAGATACGATCATCAGTTCCTGATTTACACATCCTACAGAACAAAGACATAAATAAAAATGATGCCTCAGAGAACACAATAGAGGACAAGCAGTTACTCTAGAAATTCAGTACCAAGAGGCATAAAAGACATGCTCCACCCAGCTTACCTGGCTGTCACAAAACATCAGGTTAACTTTGCATTGTGCCCTTTCTAGAAACTTCTTAGGAGTCTCTAACCACTCCTATTTGTGCTTCAGAAGTGCAAGTTAAAGAATGATAATAGAGAAGGTGAACTCATCTATACAGAAGCTTCTAAACTTGGTATCAGAGCAAGGAATGCAAGTTGGATGATTCATTCTTCTAATTCAGACCATCAAATGTTTAACTGCACACCCATGAAAGGCCTTCCTTAGAGCATTTCCATGACACAGGCTTGGGTGACTTGTTTTGCTCTAAGTTTTAAAAACCACATACAAGAATATTGCCCTAGGATTTACTCCTTCATCCCCACTTGAACCTCCCCATTCCCAGTACCACCACAGCACCACCATTACTGCCTCTGAAAGTACATTAGAGAAAGCCAAGAACAAGTGACTCAACGCCACTTGACAACACTGAAGAAATACAATAGAAAACTTCAATACTGCGGAGACTGCCAGAGTATAAAAAAAGATGCATCAACCACATCTTTTTATAGAACATTATATATGTGACAGCTGTTTCTGTTAGATTTTCATCAATCAAAATGCAGAAATATGCAACTTGAATGAATGATTATCTTTCCGTTTAGGTTCTTTGCATTGTAAGAGGATTATGCAGCTTTCGGTAAACACTGTAGGAGTTATTCCTGTTGGAGATTCAGAAAAGTCTATTTTAAGCAATTCAGAAAAAAAAAATCCCAGCTCTTAAAAAATATTCAGTTTTACATAAAACTGCATTGAATCCAAGATCAGCAACGCTTACTTGAATGGTAATTAGATACATTTGCATAAAAAGGAATTGTTTGCAGTGCATCTATGCAATACTAAGAACCCCTACAGATTAACATCTTTAAACAAAAGAAAAACTCAACATTAAAGCAGAAAATTCGAAAGTGTGCTGTTCCCATTTTAGGTTTCTAATAGAACAAAAGTAACTTGAAGCTTTTTTGTAGGTATTCATTATGCCTTACCTCAGAAACATAACTGGAAAACCAAAGACCTCCATATCAGATGTAGAGGTGACCAGTGAGTTAGCAATTTGTAAGGCTGCCTTTCTATTTTAAATAAAAATCTTTACACAGCTTCTTGCATCTAGGAAACGTTCCAGGCACATGAAAAATCTTTTAGCAAAACAATATATTTTTTTTTAGAACTTCAGTGTATGTAGAACAGGTGGATACAGGAAAAAAAGTTTAAAATTTTAAAATTTAACATAAAGTTTGAAAAGTCATGACAGAACACACACAAACAGCAATAGGAAAGGAAGAGGAAAAAGGGGGGAGGGAACTGGCACCTACCATTCTTTCTTTACAGTTTTGATATTGTCCATGTCTTTCATTCTGGTGTTTCACCTAATTATGAAAAGAAGATGGTCAAAAAAAACCAACACCACCACCAAAAAAATCCTAAAACCCCAAAAAAACTCAATCAGACAAAATACCCAGTTCACTTTGCCTCCTTTTCTACCTGAAACACTCTCGATAGTTTTTCCTGTGTTGATAGTACATTTAACCAGAAACATCAACCTCCCCCCCACCAAGTCTCCAGATGGTTCTTTGTTTTCCTGCAGTTTCTAATTTAATGACACACGAACCACGTATCGGTTTCAGACATTCAAAAGGAAGATTACTTTTTCATTGATGTACAAAATAAATTCCACAATAACCATCTGAATTGAAAATACATGGCTACACTTACAGTAAGCAAGGAAAAAATATCACATTCCTTTTCTGAGCAGCACGATTTTAACTCCCCTGATTTTTCACACCACTATGAGACAGTTGCAGAAAAACTGCACTGGCTCTGCAGGCATTCTAATGACCTTCACATTAATACTCTGCATTACTGAAAGGTGCAAGATGCATCGGGTTCCTCTTCCTACCATTCCTCAACATATTGGTGCAGCATCCCAGAAACTGTGAATTATCATTTCTGGTCTACCATTTAGCTGGAAAGAAAATCCTGGATTTGCAAGTACTAAATATACTACAGGATTAGTCTGCCGAGTCAAGAGAAATGAAGAATGCCGCACTGATCTCATTACACTCCTGAACTCTCTGAAAAAAAGTTACAGAAAGTCACAAAAAGCCAGAGACTCACAAAAAAACCCTTTAAAGAAATATAAAATCACTCTGAAAGTAAATAAGCCCCCAGGAGAACGGATATTTTTAATTGCAACTGTGTTTAAAGAATTGTTCCTGAAGACTGCAGGGTACAGGTTACACAAATGACGTCCTGCTCCTGGCAGGTTTTGGACTAAGTCATGATATTGTGTGTGGCTTTTAGACAGCATCAAAGCAAGCAGTGACAGCCATCATACTCCTAGTAGTATGCAAGTAGTATGCACAGCAAGACTAAAATAAATTTGAAGTGGTATTGACATCCAGTTTTACAAGATGGAGAGGTTAGGGGCAAACAACATTCACTGCAGCACTAACAAAAAAAACCCTCATTCATTTATTTGGTATCATTCATGTTCCTCAGGAGGTTGATATTGTTATTCTTCCATCCTAAAAGTTAAATCCTTGTGAGACACATTTTGTAGAAATGTTCATAAGCCGTCAGAAAACGACCAAAAAGATTCAGTCAATATGTCCATAACAGCTTTTAAAGTTTAGGCAGCTTTCAATTTCACCAGGGCTGTTATGCATTAGGTCAAAACAGTACACTTCACATACCTGTGACAGGTCACACAAGATGCAGTATAACCTTTTTTTTTTTTTCCCCACAAATGTTCTGCCAGAGCATTATACATATCAGGCAAGTCTGTGCTGGTACATTACGACCTTACAAGTGTCTCTGATTGCTGTACTTGGAACTGTGTACCTGCACTTGGAAAAAATGAGCTTTCAGTATCAAATAAGTAGAGTGAATTTAAGAGCATTTAAAAAAAAACAAAACATTTTTTCAACTTTCCCAAATTAAGTTTTAACACGCTTCAGCACAAAGTAAATTTTTGTTCTTTGTGTATAACGTGCTTATCTTCTAATCTTTCACTATTCAGTAGAGTACTCCCCAAAGCAACAAAAGCCACCTCCAGCCATCTGCTTTTGTTGATTCTCTGTGACTTGTCACCAGAGCTGTTAAAAAGGGACAGACACAATGAAGCAGCTCTTCAAATTAATTCTTTTGCTACATTAGCCTGGCCTCAAATGTGCATGAATAGTATTCAAAACCGGTCAGCTGTGAAAGTCGCTGTTCCTTCTAAAGTACAACAGCAATTACACTTAGAAGAGATGTTTGTGTTAATAGATCAAGGTAAAGAAATCAGCCTAGATGGCGTATCGATGTTCATTACGACCAAAAAGCCATTAGGAGACGGGGATGGGACTGCACGGCAGGAGCTTTATCTCAGCGAGTCAACCCAACCAGCACCAACCGCCTCTCCCGCCAACTCCTGACAGACATCCCCACACGTCACTCCAACCGCCACCAGTGTCGGTACCTATTTCTGTCACAAATGATGAAAAGTCATCCCAGAACTGAACTTCCGCCTCCGGAAATTAAATGTAAATGGCAGGAAGAAGGCGAAGCTGCGTCTGGTACCTGTGGCAGGACACCCCCGGCCTTTCCCCTCAAGGAGCCGCTCCTCCTGCCTCTCTCCACCCCCGTCACCACAGGGGACAGGCCACCGTCCCCACCGTGGCCTTTCACCGCCAGGTCTTCGAAACGAGCACCTCTCACCTACGCTGCTCCAGACGCATCAGTTTCAGCAGGTATTTTTGCGCTCAATATCGTTGAGCCCACACATCCTGTTATTTTAAAGGCAAAAAAAACCCCAAACCAGAAACTACCTTTCCCTGCTTTGAGGGGCTGAAACATTCCGGCGGGCACAGGCAGCCCCCTCCCGCCGAAGCCTGTCTCGCTAACTTTAGCGGAAAGTAAACTTTCTAAGTTGAAAAGCGGAAAGTAAACTTTCTAAGTTGAAAACCATTTTGCGGCAGAGCGCAGCCCCGTCGCTCCGCCGCGGGGAAATCATCACCGAGAACCCCACCGCGCCGCCTCACAAAGAAACGAGCGGCTCCAGAGACACGGCAAGCGCCAGCCAAAAGCGAGGCGAGCCCCAGACCTAACGGCCTGAAGGTGACCGATATCCTCAGGGAAACACCCCGGCACAGGCGTTTCCTCCCCAGCTGCCCAGAAAGGCTGTGCGTTTTGGAAAGAACCCCGACCTCTTCCCCTCCCACCCCCCACAACCGCCGGGGCTGCCCGCACCCGGACCGACCCGCGCTCCCCCGCACCGCCTGGGCCCTGCCCGCCCGGCCCAGCGCCCTGAGCGGCAGCCCCCGCCAGCCCCCCGAGGTGTTTGGGAGCGACGAGGAGACACCAACGCGGAGAAGTAACGCCCCAGAGCGCCCGAGGAAGGGGCCAGGCCGGATAATGACCCCCCTGCCCTGAGGGACGCCCCGCTCCGGGCGGGACGGGGCGGGACGGAACCGGGGGCGGCCGGGCGGAGGCAGCGAGGAGGCTCAGCCCGCCCTCCCCCTCAAGACGGCCCCAGCGAGGCCAAGTTGAAGCTCCGGTCAGTGCTGAGGGAGGTCCGGCTGCGGCGGAACGCGCTCCCCCAACCCGTCCCGGCCTCTCCCCACAGAAACTCACTCACCCGCCCGCCGCAGCCCGGCGCCGGCCTCCCCGCCGCGCCAACTCCCGGCTGTCCCGCACCCCACCGCGCAGGCGCGGCCGCAAACAGGCCCGGGCAGCCGCTGCCGTTGCCCCCGCCCGGACCGGGCGAGGCGGGGCGGGGGGCAGAGCTCCGCCCTCGCCACCCGAGGGGTGGGGTTTCGGTCGCCATGTCGGTGGCGGGGCAGGGGGTGCGCGGGGGACAGTGGTGCCGCGTCACGAGTGGGGTTCTGTGGGGACATAGAGAGCCGGCTCTGTGAGGGGACAGAGCAGCTTCCCTGGGGGCTGCCGTGCGCTCCTGGGGGTGGCGGGGCTCACGGCTCGGTGCTTCCCGCCCGAACGGGCTAGGTTCCCCTCACAGCGCTGCGGCTCCTCCTGTGAGGGCAGGGGGCAGAATGTCCGGGCACAGGGGCCGTGGGTCGTTGTCGCCCACTCAGGGGGCTGATAAACCTCTGCCTGCCAGGCCAAAGGCAGATTTCTGACTGAAGAACAAAAGATCCGGTTTATTTGTGCGTGGGGGTACAGGCGAGGGACAAAAAGCGGCATTCAGCCAGCGTCCGCAATGGCGGAGAGCGGCGCCCGGTGCGGCGGCTGCCCCCGCACCCCCGCTCGGTGAGGGGGCGGGGGGGCACCGGCGCGGAGCTGTCCCTAGCTCGTTGTCATTCCAGCCCCGCGCAGACGGCAGGAACAGCCCCCACACTGAACCCTCCGGAGATGAGGAATGCCTCATTAATGCAGGGAGGACTAATTAAGGGCGAGTGTTGACATGATGTGAAAAGGAGCTCTGCGGAGGCCTCGCACCGAGGACAAAAGAGCAGCGGGCTGGCGGGGAAGCAAGAGCCCCCGAATCCCCCAGGGCACCTTAGGAAGGAGAAAAAGGAGAAAATGTCCCTGGAGGGACATTGAGCGCCGTGTCCCTGTCGGTCCCGGCGGTGAGGAGCCCTCGCCGAAGCGGCGCTCAGCGGGACGGCAGAGGCAGGAGCTATCCAAAGCAAACAGCTGGCCCAGCGCAGGGCCCACAGCAGCCAGACCCTGCCACTATCATGCTTTTAATAACGGGTTGAGTTGTTTTTTTCCCCCCAATAATTAGGGGTGCACTGTAAAACATTTCGAATTAACCTAAATTGTGCCGCCACAACCTGCTAGTTCGCATTAATTAAGGGGAAATCCACCGCGAATTTGTAAGGGCGATCAAAGATCGTTCTGCAAGCAAAGGTAATACTCCACTGAATGTCGTCTTCACGTGGGACCTGTTTCTGCAATCCCTTAAGCGTAACGATAAAAATCACGTTCTTCAAAAACACTGAAATAAGATGCTTAGTCTCAGAGTTCAGTGAAGGTAAGAGAAGTAAAATCTGACCCTTCACAGTTGTAATTTCTTCCTCTTTCTAATGTACATCACAATGCACTAAACCTTTGGAAGGCAGTTTGGATTAATTGTTAAGTTTTAACTGGATGAGATCAAATTACAGCTCCTACCTATGAATCTTCAGGGAAAATAGTAAGAAAGTTGCCTTTTTGCTTTGGTGTAAAATACATGGAGTCTTAGCTTTCAAAATACGGATTTCTGAGATTCAGTTCTCCCTGGGTTTAATGTTTTAGATGACTTCGAATTTTTTGGATAGAAGGTGCTTGTTTGTTATGAGTGTTACTTACTGAGTCTATTAAATTAGGTTTTATCTATTTACAGCTTAGAACAAGAATATCATGCTACTGTTGAAAAGTTCAAGGAATTTACAAAACTGCAGGTAGAACTTCAGAAGGTTGTTTTCCAGTACTGGACTGTTTTATATTTTCTTTCAATATTTTTAACTACCTTGTCTCCATTTCATCAAACACAGAAGCTCAGTAATATGCTTAACCCTTACTTGGGGACCTTTTCTGCAAAAATTTTATAGACCCAAAAGTGAGCTTAGAAGGAGGCAAAATTGGACTTACCTGGTGTAATGATGCAGGCTCCCCGACGGCAATCACGTATTGATTTAGAAGATTAGGTCTATTACTGGAAATCAGAGTACAGCTGGAGACATGCTGACCTACTACAATAGGAGCCGGTGTCCTAGTGAATTCAGTGGTTTCTTAAAAGCTGCTCTAAGTACAGCTGTTCTCCCTCAGGACTGAAACTACTGACAAAGCATAGGAGTAAGAAAAATCTTAAGGAAGATACTACTGTGTCTTCAACTCCAGTATAGCATAAAAAATCAGTTTTTCTTAAAAGCTGGTCATTTTCAAGTTAGAGGGTTATTAGAATCAAGACGTCACTAGAATCCTTTTAGACTTGGGGCTTATTCTCTGGCAAGAAATAGTACACGAGATGAACAGAAGCAAATGGTCCTTTTCTTACTGTGTGGTGAATGGAAGCCAAGAGCCCAGACGGAGTTCTCTGAAAACACTCTAACAGGGTATTCATGCGATGAATACAACCATCTCATGCCCCCTTTGTCAGGGGAGATCAGATGCACTGGTGTGGAAGACAGTAACAACCCCTCAACTTGTTCGATAATGTAGGAGTGAATCCTGGTGTTGACAAAGCAAAGCAGTGTTTTAGCTGTCACCACCCATCCCCTCAAGGTCACGGAAGAACCGGTGCATGTAGCGTATCTAAAACCGAGCAGAACATTAATTTTGAAGGGATATTTTTAAACCATGTATTTAACAAGGTTAACCCGTGCCAGAGGAAGCCATCAGCTACCTATAATTAAACATCAGCACATCAGCTATATTGATTGACCTTAACTTGAGACAGCAGTTGTTGCCTGAAGCCTTTTGTGAGCGTGTGCCTACAGAGCTGGGGCAGGGTGGGAGGGAAACGGGACGTGTAAAATAAACAGGAGAACAGAATCTGGTTATTTTGTACTTGGCAATCCCATTGACAAAGACAGCACGTTCCTCTGCACAGTGTCCTTTCCCCACATGCTCCTTGCAGGAATGTTAAACCTTGTAGGCTGCCACACAGGGAGAAGTAGCTTCAGGGAGCGACGTTTCTGGGAAGTTCAGCTGTGCAATGGAAAAGGGAGTCATTGTTTTATGGGAGCTGCTGGGTGAATCAGCATTCATGAAGAGGGTGTTACCCCCACGCAATGAAAGGAGCATCCATACAAGCTGCTGCTCTCTTGGACTGTAAATCCACAAGAAAAGTGAATTTGGCTTCGATTTTAAAAGTAGCGTGGACTGCATAAAACTGTGAAAAATTCAAGACAGCCTGAGCAACTGTTTGCACCAGATAACACACATTTGGAACAACACATGATGTGAATTGTCGAAACAAAGACACTTTTAAGTGAAATTACAATGATGATATGGTAGTGTAGTTTATGAGAATCATCCTTGGATGTGTTACAAGAAAACATACTTCTAAAGCCGAGATTGCGTGCGAGGACTGGGGAGATTTATGAGCAAATAATGTTTCTGATGGACCTCCCATGTGACCTTCGTCAAGCCATTATGCATTCATACACTCCTAAAACTTATCTACAAATGTATTAATAAATGCCTGTTTTTATTGTAAGTGTTTTAGGACAGAGTCTGGTTTTTACTACAAAGCCATACATCACCCAGCGCAGAAACAGGCTGGCGGTACTACCTTCAGATGATTGATGATCATAAACACCAAAGTGAGATGATTTGCCGCTTTTGTCCAAGATGGAAGCAATTTACAGCCTGAATGATAGTGAAAAACAGACACTGCAGATTCCTGGCTTACAATATCATCAGCCTGTGAGTTTCACACAATTATTAGTATTAGAAAAACTATCTACTGTAACCTTAGCTCGACGGGAAGAATGTTACGGAAGCTAATGGCTAGATGTGATGGGAAGATAATTTTGAAATATTAGGAGGTAAATCTGACCACTCCCATTTCATGTCATCCAAGAAATCTACTCTCTGATCCTGCTTCAGGTTGCAGTGATGTTATCTCGTGTGTGTGGCAAACCATCCTCAGATAGCTGTGCTGATAATGTTGTCCGAACATTAACCATTTCAATGTAAAACATTATACATTTTAAAAGGATAATGGTGGTCTTCGGGCCATATACATACACAGGCCATCTTTGCTAACATTGCAAAAGGCGTGCAGCGTGGGGTGACTGTATCACCTTACGTGTTCAAGTTCAAGGTAGTACCAGCCCTGACTACTGGACACTGTGTGTTTGATGTTCCCAAACTCATATCCCATGGACATATCTCTGTAATGAACAAATCTCTGTAATGGACAATTTGCAAAGGAGAAACCACACAGTCTTAATTTCCTAGGAGCCCCTCAGGAAAGGACTTGGGGCAGGTGCACCTAAGCAAGATGTCTTGTGAGTCTTTTATATTTCGAGATTCAACTGAAACCAGGATGAGCTGACAGAGAGGAGCACACAAGAGCTTATAAATAGAGTCCTGAAAAGATGATTTGATTTTCATTCTTTGGAATGTTATAGCTATTCAGAGATACTGCAGAGTAATCTCTGGTAAATTGCCCATGATTGAAGCAAACGGTAACTCGCTGAATAGAGCCCCCTGGTCCTTACTAGGCTGAAACTCTCTACAAAAGTTCTGAATAAGAGATGAAGGACTTTTTCTTTTGTTGTAACGCGTTCCTCATTTCCTTCTAAAATAGGGACGGGTAGCAACAACATCTTCCATCTCCAAATATTTCTTGTGCCATTAAATACTAGTCACAGAGCAAACAAGGCTTTCCATGCTGGATCATTTTTAAGGTCTTTCTACATTGCTGTCCCAATGAGATTTCATCCCCCAAGTCTTGTTTAATGGAAAGGGATTCTTTTGCTCAAGTACTTTTTCATGTTTTTCCAATTTCCCAGCGGTGTACCTGCCACAGCAGATGTTGTGCTGCCTTCTTAATATATGTTTCAGATCTCTTCATCTTTTTCTCTGAGCAACTGGAGATAAAAGCGTGTTGAACACTGCTGTAAGCTTCGGCATTTGTTATAAATTGATTCCATTTGAAACATAGTCTTTCCCAATGGCTTTTATTTTCAGAAGTATTTAGACATCTGTCTGTAAGACCAAACTACAAATCTTGAAATTGAATCTTACTGGGAATGAGTGCTATGATTTTTTTACGTAACACTTAGCGGAGTGCGGCTCCAGTCATTCTCCCTGTCCTTTCTTCATTGTCTTTTGTCCTTTGCTACTTGGAATTCTTATATTTTTCACCAAGCTTTTCCTGCGTGTAGAGTGCTGAAGATGGTCAAAATAGGTTTTTAATTCTGTTGTGTCTTCATATGACACTTGAAACAAACAACAGATATAAAAAATGGAAACAAGTAAATTCTTGGATTAGTGCAATGACTCTAAATCCATTACCACAGTAATTCATCTTTTATTGTTCATCCACATTGAAATCTCTAAGTATGTGTGATATAAAATATTAATCCTATGTTAACATGGTCTCAGTATTACAAACAAAAACTACAAACAAAACTAACAAGCAAACCTTGTAATTTATGCTTCATTTATTTATATTGTTCAGTATTAAAAATGGCGACGGCGCTTACATAGAAGCTAGAAAGCCATTAAGATCTTTGAGTGAAGATATCCAGCCACACCTTCTAAGAGGAACAAGACAACTAAGAAGCCTGAAAATAAAACCATCTGTGAAAAACAATCTGGGGAGTAAACATCCAAAATGAAGCATGTCTTTACACGTTCCCTACGACGCTAACATAATGAGAATACAGCACTAAAAATGTTCGAAGCAGTGAGTGGGGATTTTTAACTACACCAATCCCTCTACAAGAGTAGTCCCTCTGGCGTCATAAAGAGTACTCACTTGAGTATGGCTCACAGGAATGAGATCAGAACACCAAAAAAAAAAAAAAAGAAGAAGAAGAAAGGACACAAGGACGGTAAAAATATTTAGTAAATATAAAATAAATAGCTTTTAAGTTGTGGGTTTTCTGTTGCTTCAAGCAGATCTGGATAGGCACCCGGGAAAATCAATTTGCTTGCATAACGATGGAGTTTATTTTACTTTTAAAAAGTCATCAGCGTTGACGAGAGGAGGAGTGCTGGTTTGAATCAGGCATGTTGCAAACAGATGTTATGCAAGCTTCCCCAAACAGCCCTGCCAGTGCATTGCAATCCTAAGTTATGACATCCAGTGGAACTGCTGCAGTCTGGGCCCTTTTTTGGGTCACGGATCGATCTGTTGGTTTTCCCAAAATGGGGATGATATTTTCGTGATGCATACAAAAACTTGAAGAAGATCAACATAACATTTTTCATTTCAGAGCAACAGAATTTGGACACCATCTCCGAGTTCCATGGCCTATCAGTAGTAGAGACAGAAATGGAAAAGTACATTATTTGCACATTATATGATTGTGATACTAACTCTCAGCAAAAATATCTTCTGGTTCATTCCCACAATATGTCTGGTAAGGGACAGACTCCTGCAGTTCCCTTCTATTCCTACTTTTGAAGGATAAAAGTGATTTCCAAATACCATTTTCAAAACCTGTCATAGGTTTTTAATGAAAATTCTCCTTTGGCCTGTATGAAATGGCTACACCCTTTCATAATCTTCAAACAAATAAATGAAGAAACAAAAGATATGAAACGTAACAAACCTAATCTCAGGGAGCAGAACAACTCTACTTTTGAAGGACCCTGCAGATTCTTGAACAGGAAATGAAGTATTGTTGCTAATGCAGATTAAAAGCTCCAAATAGAGAATGTCAGATGAGAAAACCACCATGACTCTGAAAGACACTGTATTTTGCAGTATCTCATAAAACCAAAAATTTGTTACTGTTCACAGTAAGAAATTTTTTGCTTGGAAATCTAAATAGCCCATCTTCTTATTATATATCCTAATGTCCTTGTCACATATTTTATATTTTTAAGTACATGTTCTACCATACTTTTTTGGACTTTAATCTTGAAAAGAAAGATCTGGGAGTGGGCAGGTAAGGCAGAATAATAGTTTTTACTGAAATGTTACTGCACTTTCCATCTTTAAATAATAAAAATACTTTGATAAAGCTCTTTTGAGCCTAACAGCCTGAGCCACATGATCAATAATTTTATTATACTATTCTTTTTTTCTTGTTAAAGAAGCAGAAAGCACTGAAATAACTTGCCTAGAGGTACCAAACAAGTCAGCACGAAAATTAAAAGGTTGAGACTTTGTCACCCACAGCTCTATCCTTGTATTACCCAGCTACATTTCTTTTACAAAGCTTTAGGTTTTGGGGCTTACGTGCAGGCACTGCGCCAAGTTCAATAAAGGGCAACAAGTTGTGGTGAGAGAGGAGCCAGACTTAGTGCACATCAGCCAGAAAGGACTGCGTTATAGTTCGGGACTAGTCTGAAAAACATTTAGGCATCCGATATATTGTGATACCTACTGGTCTTCTTCCCTCTACAATGTGGTTATTGGATCTGTGAGAGAAAAATAAGCTTTTCAGCGACTGAGCAATGAACATCCAAGACAAGTTGAGGCTACCTGGCACAATACAGAGGATGCTACGGGTGAGCTGTACGGAAGGGGAAGCAGGGGGCACCCCGGATAGCCTGGCTGCCGAGAGCATTCCTTGACAGCGAGACTCACCGGGCTGTGAAACAGTGTTCCAGGGAAAACGGTGGGGATCCTGGCCTTGGGGGATCCACTCGCCTGGGCTGTCATGTCAGCGCCTGGGGAGAGCCCACCCCGGGGAGCAGAGCTGGGCGGCTCCCGTCCGCCGGGTCCCGGGGCAGAGCTCCCTTTGGGGCCGTGACCGGTGCCACCCCTCACCCCCCGGGGAGCGCCGGCTCCTTCCCTGCGCTCCGACCCGCCGGCTCCTGACAGGCCTCGGGCCGCTCTCGGCTCGGGCCCTGGGCCTCAGCGCTCCCTCGGGCCTCAGCGTCCCCTCAAAGCCCCGCCGCGGGGCCGGTGGCTCCGCCGCTCCCCTCAGCTTGACAGGACAGCGCACCCCCTGCCCCCGCCTCCCCTGGAAACGGCCCCGCCTGCTGCGAAGCCGGCAGTCCCCGTCCCTCCGGTTGCGCGGGCCGTGCCGTGCCGTGCCCTCCTCTCCTCTCCCCTCCCCTCCCCTCCCCGGGTGTCCCCCACGACCCCTGTCTCTCAACCTTTCCTCATGAGGGAGATGATCCAAGCCCTCCATCATCTT